GCTTCCTGGGAGTTTACTCAGGTTGAGTTGCTTCCTGGGAGTTTACTCAGGTTGAGTTGCTTCCTGGGAGTTTACTCAGGTTGAGTTGCTTCCTGGGAGTTTACTCAGGTTGAGTTGCTTCCTGGGAGTTTACTCAGGTTGAGTTGCTTCCTGGGAGTTTACTCAGGTTGAGTTGCTTCCTGGGAGTTTACTCAGGTTGAGTTGCTTCCTGGGAGTTTACTCAGGTTGAGTTGCTTCCTGGGAGTTTACTCAGGTTGAGTTGCTTCCTGGGAGTTTACTCAGGTTGAGTTGCTTCCTGGGAGTTTACTCAGGTTGAGTTGCTTCCTGGGAGTTTACTCAGGTTGAGTTGCTTCCTGGGAGTTTGCTCAGGTTGAGTTGCTTCCTGGGAGTTTACTCAGGTTGAGTTGCTTCCTGGGAGTTTACTCAGGTTGAGTTGCTTCCTGGGAGTTTACTCAGGTTGAGTTGCTTCCTGGGAGTTTACTCAGGTTGAGTTGCTTCCTGGGAGTTTACTCAGGTTGAGTTGCTTCCTGGGAGTTTACTCAGGTTGAGTTGCTTCCTGGGAGTTTACTCAGGTTGAGTTGCTTCCTGGGAGTTTACTCAGGTTGAGTTGCTTCCTGGGAGTTTACTCAGGTTGAGTTGCTTCCTGGGAGTTTACTCAGGTTGAGTTGCTTCCTGGGAGTTTACTCAGGTTGAGTTGCTTCCTGGGAGTTTACTCAGGTTGAGTTGCTTCCTGGGAGTTTACTCAGGTTGAGTTGCTTCCTGGGAGTTTACTCAGGTTGAGTTGCTTCCTGGGAGTTTACTCAGGTTGAGTTGCTTCCTGGGAGTTTACTCAGGTTGAGTTGCTTCCTGGGAGTTTACTCAGGTTGAGTTGCTTCCTGGGAGTTTACTCAGGTTGAGTTGCTTCCTGGGAGTTTACTCAGGTTGAGTTGCTTCCTGGGAGTTTACTCAGGTTGAGTTGCTTCCTGGGAGTTTACTCAGGTTGAGTTGCTTCCTGGGAGTTTACTCAGGTTGAGTTGCTTCCTGGGAGTTTACTCAGGTTGAGTTGCTTCCTGGGAGTTTGCTCAGGTTGAGTTGCTTCCTGGGAGTTTACTCAGGTTGAGTTGCTTCCTGGGAGTTTACTCAGGTTGAGTTGCTTCCTGGGAGTTTACTCAGGTTGAGTTGCTTCCTGGGAGTTTACTCAGGTTGAGTTGCTTCCTGGGAGTTTACTCAGGTTGAGTTGCTTCCTGGGAGTTTACTCAGGTTGAGTTGCTTCCTGGGAGTTTACTCAGGTTGAGTTGCTTCCTGGGAGTTTACTCAGGTTGAGTTGCTTCCTGGGAGTTTACTCAGGTTGAGTTGCTTCCTGGGAGTTTGCTCAGGTTGAGTTGCTTCCTGGGAGTTTACTCAGGTTGAGTTGCTTCCTGGGAGTTTACTCAGGTTGAGTTGCTTCCTGGGAGTTTACTCAGGTTGAGTTGCTTCCTGGGAGTTTGCTCAGGTTGAGTTGCTTCCTGGGAGTTTACTCAGGTTGAGTTGCTTCCTGGGAGTTTACTCAGGTTGAGTTGCTTCCTGGGAGTTTACTCAGGTTGAGTTGCTTCCTGGGAGTTTACTCAGGTTGAGTTGCTTCCTGGGAGTTTACTCAGGTTGAGTTGCTTCCTGGGAGTTTGCTCAGGTTGAGTTGCTTCCTGGGAGTTTACTCAGGTTGAGTTGCTTCCTGGGAGTTTACTCAGGTTGAGTTGCTTCCTGGGAGTTTACTCAGGTTGAGTTGCTTCCTGGGAGTTTGCTCAGGTTGAGTTGCTTCCTGGGAGTTTACTCAGGTTGAGTTGCTTCCTGGGAGTTTACTCAGGTTGAGTTGCTTCCTGGGAGTTTACTCAGGTTGAGTTGCTTCCTGGGAGTTTACTCAGGTTGAGTTGCTTCCTGGGAGTTTACTCAGGTTGAGTTGCTTCCTGGGAGTTTACTCAGGTTGAGTTGCTTCCTGGGAGTTTACTCAGGTTGAGTTGCTTCCTGGGAGTTTGCTCAGGTTGAGTTGCTTCCTGGGAGTTTACTCAGGTTGAGTTGCTTCCTGGGAGTTTACTCAGGTTGAGTTGCTTCCTGGGAGTTTACTCAGGTTGAGTTGCTTCCTGGGAGTTTACTCAGGTTGAGTTGCTTCCTGGGAGTTTGCTCAGGTTGAGTTGCTTCCTGGGAGTTTGCTCAGGTTGAGTTGCTTCCTGGGAGTTTACTCAGGTTGAGTTGCTTCCTGGGAGTTTACTCAGGTTGAGTTGCTTCCTGGGAGTTTACTCAGGTTGAGTTGCTTCCTGGGAGTTTACTCAGGTTGAGTTGCTTCCTGGGAGTTTACTCAGGTTGAGTTGCTTCCTGGGAGTTTACTCAGGTTGAGTTGCTTCCTGGGAGTTTACTCAGGTTGAGTTGCTTCCTGGGAGTTTGCTCAGGTTGAGTTGCTTCCTGGGAGTTTACTCAGGTTGAGTTGCTTCCTGGGAGTTTACTCAGGTTGAGTTGCTTCCTGGGAGTTTACTCAGGTTGAGTTGCTTCCTGGGAGTTTACTCAGGTTGAGTTGCTTCCTGGGAGTTTGCTCAGGTTGAGTTGCTTCCTGGGAGTTTACTCAGGTTGAGTTGCTTCCTGGGAGTTTACTCAGGTTGAGTTGCTTCCTGGGAGTTTACTCAGGTTGAGTTGCTTCCTGGGAGTTTACTCAGGTTGAGTTGCTTCCTGGGAGTTTGCTCAGGTTGAGTTGCTTCCTGGGAGTTTACTCAGGTTGAGTTGCTTCCTGGGAGTTTACTCAGGTTGAGTTGCTTCCTGGGAGTTTACTCAGGTTGAGTTGCTTCCTGGGAGTTTACTCAGGTTGAGTTGCTTCCTGGGAGTTTACTCAGGTTGAGTTGCTTCCTGGGAGTTTACTCAGGTTGAGTTGCTTCCTGGGAGTTTACTCAGGTTGAGTTGCTTCCTGGGAGTTTACTCAGGTTGAGTTGCTTCCTGGGAGTTTGCTCAGGTTGAGTTGCTTCCTGGGAGTTTACTCAGGTTGAGTTGCTTCCTGGGAGTTTACTCAGGTTGAGTTGCTTCCTGGGAGTTTACTCAGGTTGAGTTGCTTCCTGGGAGTTTACTCAGGTTGAGTTGCTTCCTGGGAGTTTGCTCAGGTTGAGTTGCTTCCTGGGAGTTTACTCAGGTTGAGTTGCTTCCTGGGAGTTTACTCAGGTTGAGTTGCTTCCTGGGAGTTTACTCAGGTTGAGTTGCTTCCTGGGAGTTTACTCAGGTTGAGTTGCTTCCTGGGAGTTTGCTCAGGTTGAGTTGCTTCCTGGGAGTTTACTCAGGTTGAGTTGCTTTATGAGTGGCCGGTGAAAGCATGGGTGTTGCCATTGAGGCACGGGAAGAATCACTGTGGTCTGCCGCTTGTGACTATATCCGGCACTATGATGTGGAGGTTTATTCATTCCACACCTGTCTGCTTGTGAAGACTCATTTCACATCTGTTTGCTTGTGCACACTTGCACACTTGAATCTCAAAACTGCAGCCAGCCAGGATATTGATGGCTCGTGTCACATTTGTGTGTTTTGTGTGACATATGAGATGCATGTCATGTTTGTGACGTGCGGGGTGGGTATGATGTGTGTGATGGATGTGGTGCGTGTGATGCATGTGATGCATGTGGTGCATGTGGTGCATGTGGTGTGCGATGGGTTTATTGTGTAGTTCTTGTGGTGTCTGTGCTGCATGTGATGCATGTGATGGATGTGGTGCATGTGATGGATGTGGTGTGCGGTATTTGTTTGACATCTGGTGCATGCATCTGCAGTTTTGCGCAGTGTGTGTTTACATCAGGTTTTATCTTCATCAACAACAGCATCTCGGATCCAGCTTTGATTGGTGCCGTTAGAGGGATCACTCAATCCATCAGTCTCTTTTTCAGGGCAATGGCACCTGCTGCTGGTGCTACCGTGTTTGCATGGAGCATCAGTGGTACACCATTCTTTCCGCTGGACCATCACTTGTTTTTCTTTGCTCAGGCGGTGCTTCAGCTTGTTTTGATCATGATTTCTCGGTCCATGCCGGACCATATTGACACGCCTAAGTTTGTTCGACGACAAACGACACAGTGGATATGTCATGCCACTTCAACATATCTTACCATGTGACAAAGGTGCATTTGGTAAGCCTTTTCTTATCAATGAGCTCATTAGAGGAGATGCAAGCCCACAAGCCTCGGCCCCTGGTTTGTCAACATTGATCTCAACTCGAGCCTCGGTCCGCCAGCCACATTCGAGGTTCGTGGGCCCAGGCTGATTCTGCAGCCGCAGACACTGACCAGGCATGACGTCAACAACGCGTCCCTTTTTGCCACAAGGTCTGCGCAACCAATTACCGTGCCTGATCACTTGCCGAACCTCTATTGTAACCTCCAATTAGCGTCATCCCGTACGTCTTCTCCCCTCTGGCATGGAGCAGCAGCCAACAACAACCAAACGCCAACACACAATTTCCATGTGGCCTTGGTTCCCTCGGTAACGTTTAATACCGTTGCAGAAAGTAATTAAACCGTAATAAACACGCTTTGCACATCAAGCCCTGATTGCTTCGACATGGCGCCCCTCACAAGCTCGCACAACCACCCAACCACCTGTTCTCAGCCATGGACTGATTTCTGTTGCTAGTCTTTATTTCTCTTTGGAGTAATTCGAGTGTCTCGAGAAGTGTTCGTAGTTCTCGTTGGAGCTTCAGTTTTCTTTCTCCCAATCTTCATTTCAGGGTCGCACGTATCGAGCTGTTTTCTTGGTGGCAGTTAGACTAGCCGTCGATCAGACCGGCCGCCAGCTGTGATCAGCGCTAGTTGCTGGTCAACATGCCGCCAGGCACCCCGTCAGAAGTCGATGAGATAAAGAATAGCTCAGCCTCCATAAGTATACCCAGTGGTGATACCAGCGATGCGAGGAATGGCGAAGCGCCTAAAGAGCAGGAAGCAGTGGTACCGCCAACGGTCAAGTTTATAATCGGCAACGAGTTCTGCGAGAGATTCTCCTTCTACGGCATGCGAGCGATCCTGGCGATGTACCTGAACGAGAGATTAAAGCTGTCGCAGGCGACGGCGACGGAGATGGTGCATCTCTTCATCGTCGCCGCGTACCTCGCTCCCCTGTTTGGCGCCTTCATAAGCGATAGCTACTTGGTAAGGCTCTGCCATCATGGAACGCCAGGTGGTTTCCATAGTTATGATAAGTGACTGCGACTGTATGTCAACGCTGCGTACCTGTTCCCTGCTGGGCGGCTTCATAAGCGATAGGCATCTGGTAAGAACTCGATTCAAAGTTTGAGTCTGTCGCTGATTCAACGGATCCATGCATAACAGTTTTTAATCCAAACCTAAGCATCCAAGTTTTCTCCGAGCCCCTTCTATCCTGTACCTATCCTTCGTCTGCCACACCGAGTATCGAATCGCCGCGAACCTCGATATCTCCAAATTGTCTCCCTGCGCGCCGATCGCAGGGCAAGTACGGGACCATCCTGCACCCCTCCATCTCCTACCACACCAAGTTCCTAGACGCCTGAAACCTCGATATTTCCCCCTTGTCTCCCCGCGCGCGCAGGGCAAGTACCGGACCATCCTATACCTCTCCTTCATCTACTGCGCCGGCAACTGGCTCGTCGCCTTCTCCGCGCTTCACACCACGCCGTCCGCCGCGCTCCCGTGGGCCCTCGCAGGCCTATCCTTTCTAGCCTTGGGCAGCGGCGGCATCAAGCCGTGCGTGTCGTCGTTCGGCGGCGATCAGATCGAGATGACCAACCCTCCCGGCGCGGCTCGGGACCGCCTGGTTCGGCAGTTCTTTTCGTATTTCTACTTCGCGATTAACGTCGGGTCCGGGATCTCGACGATCGTCACGCCGCTGCTGCGCGTTAATCTGTCGTATAGCGCCGCGTTCGCGCTGCCGGCAGTGCTGATGATGGTTGCCACGTGTCTCTTCTGGCTCGGCAGCGGGAGTTACGTGCACCAGCCGCCCGCGGGGAACGTGGTGTCCGAAGTCCTCTCTATAATCATCTCCGCTCTATGGCCGGGGAAGGCGCGGCGGAAATCTTACCCAACCCTGGCCATGCCCATGCCCGTGCCAATCCCGGAGCGCCACGCGAGCTGTGCTGACGTGGACAGCTCCCCGCTTCTCTCCAGCAGCCCCGCGTCGTTCGGCGCAGGTAATGGCGGCGGGGGCGGTAGCAGCCATGGAGGGGGGAACCGCTTCCAACCGGGGAGTCCGCTGCAAGGCCAGTTGTCTGAATCACCTCAGAGCCAGCAGCGGAAGGGCAGCCAGCCGACGCTGCAGAAGAAGCTGTCGAAGCGGGGCAGCAAGCGAGCCATAGTGCCGTTGGGATATGTTCCCAAGGCGCACTGGCTGGACCCCGCCAAGGGCGCGCACGGGGACGAGGCGGTGGAGGACGTGAAGCTGCTGCTGCGCGTGCTGGCGCTGTTCGCCCCCGTGCCCATCTTCTGGTCGCTCTTCGACCAGCAGGCCAGCCGCTGGGTCTTCCAGGCGGAGCGCATGGACGGGCGGATCTGGGGGGTCACGGTGGAGCCGGATCAGATGCAGGTGGGTGACGGTGATGTGGGGTTTGGGGGGGTTGGGATGGGTGGGGATGGGGGGAATTGGGGGGGGTTCGTCCAGCAGGCCAGTCGCTGGGTGTTCCAGGCGGAGAGGATGGATGGCAGGATCTGGGGGGTCACGGTGGAGCCGGATCAGATGCAGGTGGGTTGTGGTGGTGAGGGGTTGGGATGGGCGGGGGTGAGGGTTTGGGCAGGATTGGCCGGGGTTGGGTTGGGTGGGGCTGGGTGTCACAGTGGAGCTGGATCAGATACAGGTGCGTTGTGGGCAGGAGGGAGGGAAAAGGGGGGTGTGGGGGGGGCGGAGGGGTTGGATTGGGATGGGGACTTAGGGTGTTTCGACCAGCTGGCGAGGCGGGGGTGTTCAGGCTGGGGGAATGGATGGCAAGATTTGGGGTTTAAGGTGGAGCTGGACCAGATGCAGGTGCGTGGTGGTGAGGGGTTTGGGGGTTTTGGGATGGGTGGGAATGAGGGAAGGGGGAACCGTGGGGGTCGAATAGCAGGGCAGCAGATGGGTTGTTATACAGGAAGAGGATGGATCATGGATGGGCGAATATTTGGGGTTAGAGTGAAGCTGGGCCAGATGCAGGTGCGTTGTGGTAGGAAGGGTTTGGGATGGGTGGTGCGGGGTCAGGGCTTGAGAGTGGGCAGGCTAACAGGCCGGTTGATTGGTACTTGAGGCAGAGAAGTACAGCCGGGCGGATGTGAGGGGTTGAGCTACACTCAGTGGTGGAGGTCGGAGGGGGGATTAAATGGGCGGACGTAGATGGGGGAGGCCAGCAGACCAGCAGGTCTACAGGGAAGCAGGGCAGCAGATTCATGCAAGGGCTGGTGTTTGGGGGGCAGGTGCAGGTGGGCTGGTGTCAGGGGGAGAGGCAGATGGGCAGTCCGGCCAGCAATTCAGCTTATGGGGGTTCTAGAGGGAATGGTACACGGATGATGGTCAATTGCCTGTTTGTTTAGTTGGTTGCCGGATTGCTTTGGGTGGTGGCGGGGATGGGTGAATGGATGGATGGATGGATGGATGGATGGATGGAGGGATGGATGGATGGATGGGTGGATGGATGGATGGATGGATGGGTGGATGGATGGATGGATGGGTGGATGGATGGATGGATGGGTGGATGGATGGATGGGTGGATGGATGGATGGGTGGATGGATGGATGGGTGGATGGATGGATGGATGGGTGGATGGATGGATGGGTGGATGGATGGGTGGACGGATGGATGGATGGGTGGATGGATGGATGGATGGATGGATGGATGGATGGGTGGATGGGTGGATGGATGGATGGGTGGATGGATGGATGGATGGATGGATGGATGGATGGATGGATGGATGGATGGATGGATGGATGGATGGATGGATGGATGGATGGATGGATGGATGGATGGATGGATGGATGGATGGATGGATGGATGGATGGATGGATGGATGGATGGATGGATGGATGGATGGATGGATGGATGGATGGATGGATGGATGGATGGATGGATGGATGGATGGATGGATGGATGGATGGATGGATGGATGGATGGATGGATGGATGGATGGATGGATGGATGGATGGATGGATGGATGGGTGGATGGGTGGATGGATGGATGGGTGGATGGATGGATGGGTGGATGGATGGATGGGTGGATGGATGGATGGGTGGATGGATGGATGGATGGATGGATGGATGGATGGCTCAGCTGTTGAACTGGTTGAGAGATGAGGGTTGAGCAATCAAATGCCTGCGTGCATCAATTTTCTGCCTCTGGTCAAACCTCTATGGAAACCTTTATTTCATTTGAAACCTTAATCCAAACCTCTTTTTGAATGACTTCAATCATTTCGTTTTTTTCTCATATTTCTTCTTCCCTCTCCCCTTCCCCACCCTGTTCTCCTACTGACCCACCAGCATTCCACCTCCTTTTTCCTTCCCCCCTTCTGCGCCCCCCGTCCCTCCCCTGCTTCCTCCACGCACAGACCATGAACGCAGCGCTCATTCTGGTTATGATACCGCTATTTGATCAGGTGATTTACCCTGCGTGCGAGCGCCTGGGCGTGTCAATCCGCCCCATCCGCCGCATGGCCACCGGCATGACCCTCGGCGCCCTGAGCTTCGCCCTCTCCGGCCTCCTCCAGATCTGGATCGAGGCTCGGGCCAAGTCTGGCTCGCCGAGCCTGCTGCTAGGCTCGGCAGTGACCGCTGCTGCTGCAGGGGTGGGGAGTGTGGGCGCAGGGGATGGAGCTGGTAGGGTGTTACTGGGTATGATTGGGGGTAACATGACAGCAAGTGTTAGCAGCTTTGGCGGCATGGGTATGAGTGGTATGAGTAGCAATGGCAGCATGATGAGCAACATGAGTGGTATTGCTGGTCCAATCGTGACTGGTTCTATGATGGACGGATGGGGAGGAGACCTGGTGACAGTGGGAGGGGCAGCAGCAGCAAGAGTAACAGCAGCAGTGGGCACAGCAGGAGCAGCAGCAGTGGAAGCAATGGGAGGCCTAGCAGCAGGGGGGCAAGTAGGCAACAGCAGCAGACACGTGCTGCAAGCATGTGGGGACCCGGGCAGCCCACCATGCGTGTCACTGGCATGGCAGGTGCCACAGTATGTGATCATGACCGCCGGGGAGATCCTATTCAGCATCACGGGCCTCGAACTCGCTTACTCGCAGGCCCCTGCTAGCATGACAGCTGTCGTCACCGCCTTCTGGTGCCTCACCGTCGCTGGAGGTGAGCCTATCGTAGGGAGTGTGCGCACTTCTGTAGACCTCACTAATCGCAGGGGGGGCAGGTGCCACAGCATGACGGCCGTTGTCACCGCATTCTGGTGCCTCACTGTGGTTGGAGGTGAGCCTTCGTAGGGAGTGTGCGCTGGGTTTCCACTGCCCTGTCGCTCCACTTCTCCCTATCACCCTCTTCTCCCTATCACCCTCTTCTCCCTGTGGTTCTCTCCTCTCAGCTCTCACTCATACAATCTCTTCACAGCGGTGGCCGTGAGAACAGTGGGCCTGCACTTGAAACAGAAGCAATTAGTTTTCGTTTCTTCACTGTCTGTCATGTGCCTGCTCTCCACCGCACTGCTCCTCCACTCATCGCTTTTTCTCATCCCTTGTTCTCATCTCTCTCCTCTCTCTCCAGGCAATCTCTTCACGGCGGTGGTGGTCGGGACCGTTGGCTCGCATCTCTCTCAGACGCAGGAGTTTTTCTTCTTCACCATCATGTGCCTGCTCTCCACGGCACTACTACTCTATGTCGGCAAGGGTTTCATCTATGTGGAGAGCTGCCAGGACTTTGAGCAACCTGACCCTTTCTCTCAGGGTGGTGGTGGTGGGTTTGGTGCGGTTGGTGGGAGTGGTGAGGGGCATAGTGCCCCACTGCCTGTGCCTGGTGGGTCGGGTGTACGGCATGATGCGCTGTTTGATATTGAAGGGGCGGGTAGTGTGAACTCGCCGCCTGCTTCGTACACTGACACGCCTACGTGAGGCTTCATTGTTGCCTGCTGACTAACTCGGGAACCACAAAAATGTACACGTCTGTTAGGAACTGGATTTAGGTGTTGATGCCGCCTTAGCTGTGAGTGCTAGTGGCCACTGTGTACAGAAAATCATCTATTACTCATGTCTGACAAGGGCCTCAAGGTTGCTAAGATATCCTTACCAGCAGAGGTGTCAAGAATGAAAGTGTTGGTTTGACTAAAGTTGGTCGGGGTACATAAACCTAACCCTAATAGTTGTACCCCCTATAACACACATCACTAAGACTACAACATTTGACAAGAGGTGACAAGTAGTTTTGCTGAAGAAATATCAAAAGTATATTATGTGTGTTGTCGTTCTCTCTAAAAAGATGCCTTTGACGAGTATGTGGAACATTCGGATCTCACACGTGTCGCGCTCACACACCCAGCTGTGCTCTCCACAAAGTTGGGGACTCAAATCGAGCCGCCGAAGCGGAACCTTTTGCCTGTCGGTCGTAGATCGCCTCCAGCAAGCTGGGATTTGAATCGAGCCGCACACGGAAAATCCATCTCCTGCAAGTGGTGCAGCTGGTTCTTGCGAAAATCGCTTGAATTCACGAGAAGGGTTTCCCGATTCCAGCAATATTCGTAGATACTTCCCTGACCACGAGATCCAGGCATCAGTCGCTGGACCGGATTAGCCAATGGAAGGCCTCGAATATGCTCCAACGCATCACGTTGGAGAGCAGAATGGGGTGTGCGTGAGAAATCCATGGCTGAACCTCGTTTCGTCTCCATCATCCTTGTGCCCTCAACCCAGCGCATTTCAAAGATTCCCCAAATTCCATTCTGGTCATCCGCCATCCTTAGGCTTGAGTCTGCTAGCTACACAGGTTGCCGTCACTTGCACGTCCAAAACTAGCTGATTTTAGATCCGTTCAGGGCTAGATTCGCAAGCGTGGTTTGCGGACTTGAGAGATTTTAGTCGTCTCCTAGAATCCTGATCAGCAGCACAGAAGCAACAATGTCGGAAGAGACTCAGAGCCTGACGGGAGCAGTTGGCTTGGCGACAAAAACAGGCGGATGGATAAAGAAAGAGGAAGTGAAGACGGCGGTTTCCAGGTGAGGTCCTCACAACTGCTCAACTTTGTTATGCTTGCATCACTTTTCATGAACTCTCGAATCAATCGGATAAAGACAGAGAGGGTGATGAAGTGCGTTTCCTGGTGAATCCTCGCAAAGGCTCGAGTTTTGCATCCCTTTGCATCATCGCATGGATCATTCTTCGACTGAAAGGAGCTATGAGCGTGCACTCTTTAGAAAGGTTACAGAAGCTGAGCAGGCCTGTACTTCGTTAAAGGGGAAATGCTATGACCAGCATGATCGGAAAACCTTCACGCGAAACGAAACTTGGAGCTTGACTCATTGAACTTGATCCTACATCGTCTATCCTTGCACCACGCCTTGCTGCTTCACCTTTCGTCACCTGCATTGACCGCCGCGTCGTCTGTCTGCTAACTATGTGCCGGCACCACTTGAACAATGACACCTGTGCAAATGCCCTGTCATCCACCAACACCTTCCAGATCGTTCCTCTCGCGTTTCATTTCCATGCGGCGCCTCTGTTGCGCGAATTCGTTCTGATGCAACTCCTGATCCGTGTCATCCCCGCTGCAGCTATGAGAACTACCACGAGAGCTTTGGAGGGAGCGACAGCGCGCGCAAGTCCAACTACACGGACATGGTATGTACGGTTCAGTGCTTTAAAGGGTTGCGGATGCCTTGAGACTTCTGAAATCGCGCAAGTCCAACTACACGGACATGGTATGTATGTACACAGTATGGCGCCAAGAGGTTACCGATGTGGCTGGTATATTACTGTTCTCAGCAGCTGGTAAGTACGCAGCATGATTCGGGGGGTTACCGATGTGGCATAACACAACTCTTGATGAACTTTGGCTGCAACAAGGCATAATGCACCCAATGAAAAGCATTAAATCGAACCGTAACAAAGAGTCGTCTTTTCCCGTTACCCCAACTTCGCTTCTCGCCCGACCCACCTCCCTTCTCACACACACGCTCAGGTGAACAAGTACTACGATCTGGTAACCAGCTTCTACGAGTACGGCTGGGGCGAATCGTTCCACTTCGCTCACCGGTACGAGCTTCGCCAACTAGCCACGATAACCACCCACTCATAGGAGCGAAACCGGCCAATGTTCTGTCATGACCACTGCACTCCAGCATTCATTCATTCATTCATTCATCCATTCATCCATTCATCCATTCATCCATTCATCCATTCATCCATGCATCCCAGCTGCGCGCACCTTGTCCCACGTCAGACTGCATGGGCCTTCCTCGCAGCGCCTCAATCTCATTGCATTGCGTGTGCCTCGCACAAGTCCCCTGGTCTTGTCGTATCTAGATCCCTGAAAAAACGGTCCCTTCGTTTCGCCATTCCTTCCGGCATCCCGTTGTCTCTCTGCTCCGCGCGCCAGCATGAGGGGCGAGACGCTACGGGAGAGCATCAAGCGTCACGAGCACTTCCTGGCACTCCGGCTAGGACTGGGCCCTGGCATGAAGGTGCGTGCGTGCTCTTCCATGGGGCATGAAAGTGTGTACTCGAACGGGCATAAGTTTGCTTCTCAGCTGTTCTTTCCTCCCCCTTCTGGAATTTTCATCTCTCCCTGACAGCCTTCTATCTCATTTTTCACAGTGTCGTGCCTCACTCCTTCCTCCTCTCCACACCTCGCCTCACTCCTCTTTACACCTCGGATTTTGATCCTCCTCTCACCTCCTCGCCATCAGGTGTTGGATGTGGGGTGCGGCATCGGTGGGCCGTTGAGAGAAATCGCGTTATTCAGGTACGCCCACAGCCTCTGCCTTCTGTCCAGTCCTGAGATAAAATGCCTGCTGGTCAGAGCTTATGTTCGAGACAAATCGCCTCCTGTTGCTCGTCTTTGTGGTATCCATTGGAATTGCGTCTTTCACCCTGTTGTTGCTTGCACCCTGCTGTCTGTCTGTATGCTCAGTCGTCTTTGCTCCACTCCTCACTTGCGCGCTCGCTGTCTCTTCCCCTCTCCCCCTGTGTGCAACACAACACAACGCAGTGGAGCCACAGTAACGGGGCTCAACAACAACGAGTACCAGATCTCCCGCGGCAAGGTACGCTCTACGTTGGCGCACTTATCCGTTCATTTATCAATGCATCCAGCCACCCATCCAGCCACGCACCCGGCCACCCACCCAGCCAACTTTGAAACTCGCCCTTCCATCTTTCCGACCCACCCTCACCATGTCGCCTCTTCTCCATCCCCTCCATCCTCCCCTCCCCGCACCCCACCAGGTGCTCAACAGGCGGCACAGGGCGCTGGAAGCATGTGGGTTCATAAAGGCGGACTTCATGAGCATCCCCGTGCCGTGCCTTCATGCTTCCGCTATGCTCCTCACTCTTGCCCTTCCCTCCCCTGCCACGTCACCCACCTCGCCAGGTGCTGAACAGGCGCCACCGAGCACTGGAGGCATGTGGATTCATAAAGGCGGACTTCATGAGCATCCCCGTGCCCGACGCATCCTTTGATGCCGTCTATGCCATCGAAGCCACCTGCCACGCGCCCGACGCGGTGAGTGCCACGCCCCCCATGCTGTGAGTGCTCTCTTGGGCCGTGATGTCTCAACAAGCGTCGACAGTAGGCACAATGAGCATCCCCGTGCCCGATGCCTCCTTTTGTTGCCGTCTACGCCATCGAAGCCACCTGCCACGCCGATGCTGTGAGTATGCTTGTCGACAGAAGGCACAAAGGGCATGAGATCTTTGGAATGTGATGACAAAAATGTCTGGCTTATTCCTGATTTATCCCCATGTATCAATATCCCCGTTCCTATCTCAAGAACCTATCCCCACGTATTTGTATCTCCGTTTATATCTTAAAATCCCTCTCCCTGGTCAGGTGGGGTGCTACAGCGAGGTGAAGCGCGTGCTGAAGCCCGGGCAGTGCTTTGCGGCGTACGAGTGGTGCCTCACAGACGCCTATGACCCCAACAACCCCCAGCACCAAGAGGTCAAGGTGAGATGAGAAGAGACCCTCTATAGAGTGCTTGCGTGCGGTGAGACGATGTTTGAGGCGCCTGAGAAAGAGCGGGTATGACCCCACCAAATCACAGCACCCGGAGGTCAAGGAAAGGCCCCACCATACCAAACTACAGAGTATAATCGGGTCAATGAGGTTCGCTCCGCCATTCCCCTTGCTCTTCTCCTCTAGCCCGTATGTCCCTCGTCTCCATGATCCCTCCCTTACGTCCTCCGTTCAGTTCCCCCCTTTGCAGTGTATATGGCGTATTTAATCCAGACTCTCAAGAATCTTTCTACATTTTTAATGTGTGTTGTTCCTTGCGGTGTTGTCTGGTGTGGCGTTCTTTGGTGCGGTGGGGAGGGGTGCAGAGGGAGGTGGAGCTGGGCAACGGGTTGCCAGACATCCGCACCACGGCGCAGGTCCGCCAGGCGCTGCTGGACGCCGGATTCGAGGTGAGCCATTCAGCCCCATGCACTGCAGGCACCCTATGCGCGTGTTTGGCTGTGTGCACACTGAGCACATGGAGGTAGCGCAGGACAGCAGTGTGGTACAGGCAACGGGCTGCCAGACATCCGCACCACAGCGCAGGTCCGCCAGGCGCTGCTGGACGCCGGCTTTGAGGTGAGCGATTTAGCCCCATGCACTGCATTCATGCACCCTACATGCATGCATGGGCCGCATGGCTGTGTGCACACTGAGAGCATATATAGGGTTTACAGCACAGCAGTATCATCCATTCCGTGCCACGGGTTGCCTGCCGGACATCCGCACCACGGCGCAGGTCCGCCAGGCGCTGCTGGACGCCGGATTCGAGGTGAGCGAACCCATTGCATTGCATACACACAGAGGGCATGCAATGCAGTGCATGCTCGTGTGCTCAAGGCCCTTTCATCAATCCCGGCCTCCTCCCACCCCCCTTTCGCCCAAACCTACCTCACAACCCACATATGCCCTACCCTCCTCACTCACATATCACCTCCCCTGTTTTCCTTGCCTCCCCTCCACACTCCCCATGGTCTCACTCCCTCACAGCTCCTGGAGGCAGCGGATCTGACGGAGACAGTGGAGGTGGCGTGACATACTCTGCTCCCTCTGTGCCAGTCCCGTGCACCTCACACCAACCATCTCTTCTCCCTTCCTCCTCTCCCTCTGCGCAGCTACTGGAGGCAGCGGATCTGACGGAGACGGCGGAGGTGGCGTGGCACAAGCCGCTGGACCCCAGCTACTTCTCACTCTCACAGTTCAAGCTCACCCGCGTCGGCCGCTTCCTCACCACCACCCTCGTGCGTGCCCTCTCTCACTTCCTCTCACCACCTCCTTCCTACGCTTCTTCCAAATCCAATCACTCCGTGATTCCTTGCTTTGACATGCACCATCCCACCATTTGTGCTGTCCATGCCACCACCTAGTCTTATCCACTCGCCACTCACTACCTCTCACTTATGCCCCCTCCCCAAAGCCATCATTGCTTCCAGCCTACCTTCCCTCTCCTGTCTCTTCCCCACTCCCTTCCCATTCCTTCCCATTCCTTCCATATCCTCCCGCCCCTGTTGCACCCGCCTCTGTGGTCCCCGGCCAATCAGGTGCAAGTGCTGGAGGGGCTACGGATTGCGCCAGCTGGCAGCTACCGCGTGCAGAAGTTTCTGGAGAGAGGGGCAGATGCGCTCGTGGAGGGCGGCAAGTGAGTGGCCTTGATTGTCTGACGCATGTCGCATGTCTCCCTCTGGCATTCTCTGTCGCCGTGGCTTGAACTTCCTCCCACCCTTGCCCCCACCCGTCCCCTTCAATTCAAATTCCCCCTTTCTCTCACTGCTGGATCCTCTTCTCTTCCCCCTTCTTCTCCTACCTCCTCGATTTTCCCATCACTCCCCTCCTCTCTCCTCTCCCCCGCTCTGGCGCTCGTTCATCGTTTTCCCATGCCCTATCTGTGATCCTTACTGCTCGAGCGCCTTGTGTGCAGGAGAGAGATTTTCACACCCATGTATTTCTTCCTTGCTCGCAAGCCTCTGTAGAACTTTGGAGGTCGTAGTGTGAAACAATTTCAAATGTAGCCTTTTTGTTATTAATCGTGAGTGCCTCAAAAGTAGTAATTAGATCTCAGATGCATATATTAGACCCATTTAATACCTACCTGGAAATATAGAGTGAGCAGCACAGGAGCTAGTCCCCAATGACTGCACTGTATGCTCTTCATAGGGATTAAAAACACTGTCACCATTTGATTCCATTTTGTTTTTTAGGATGGAATACACTGTACAGAACATTCATCCACAGTCGTACCAAACACGATCGCGGGTGTGATTGTCGAATATCGGAAAGGGGGAGAGAAAGCAGAATGGAGAAGGGCGGTGGCGGGGTTTTCGCCAGGCTGTGGCGCGCAGTTGCCGCAGATGCTTCTGCTTTCCTCTCGTCTTTTGAAGCTTTCGCTCGAAGTTTCTCGAGAAATATTAGTTTGGACAATTCCTGTTTTTTGCAGGGTTGATTTGAAGTTTTTGTTGTTTTTGTGTCGACGAGCCACCCCGAATTCGCCCACATCATTTCGTTTCTTCACGAGCTACTGCTGGCTAAGCTTCGCTTTCATTTTCAAGGAACAATGATACTTCGGAGTTTGTTCTGCCCGCGGTGCCGCCGCCGTAGGCGCGACTCGCTGATTCACCACCTGAATCCACGCTGGCGAGCCGCCATCAGAGAAACCTGTAATTCGTAGCTTGTAGTAGCCTGGAATACAGGAGACGATGTTCGTCTTGATTGTCGTACGTGCGCATTCGTACATAATCCGAGGCATTTACGAGGGGAGGTCATTACTCCAACAAATCCTGCTGAAACCGAGTCTCCCCGCCGTCTCTCATTCGCCATTTGCCTTCCTTTCCGCCATCTCCGCACCATATCGGTTCTATCCGTGTCGAAGCTTTGCTGCCAGCTGAAACAGACGGAAGCGGTTCTTTCTGGCAACACAGTGTTTTTTTCTTGACGCGACTCGGCAAGCTGTAGCATGGCGCCGTGGATTGCGCTCGCGCTCGTGGGGCTCCTGCTGGGAGCCACTAATATCCGCGCGGTTCGCGGAGAGTCGTTTAACTACGACCTCTCGGGCACGGACTGGCCGGTAGGCATTGACTTGCAGTGCCGGTTGCTGGTACTTTGCTTCTCAATGCCATCAAATTACTCTCTGCTTCTTCATCTCTTGTTTTATTTGTCGCATGTCGTTTTCCTCTTCACCTCTCACTCACACCTCCCGAACTCAACATAGTCACATTTAGCAATGCATGCTTATCCTCGTACCTGCCCCTTATGTAGTCACAATCGTCCTCTTACTTGCCCTCGTCCGTGCAGGGTCTGTGCCAGTCGGGCAAGAAGCAGAGCCCCATCAATATAGTCACATCCGCAGTGAAGCGCGCCGATGGCCCCTCGCTGCTCAAAGTGAAGCACCCTCTGAGCCGCGAGATCACCGTCACCAACGAGGAACACGCCGCCGGTAAGGCGGTTTGCTGTTGTACGCGTTTTAGGTAAGTCGGAGGCTACTAATGAGTCGCTGCTTATTGTGAAGCACCCTCTGAGCCGCGAGATCACCGTCACCAACGAGGATCACGCCGCTGGTAAGACAGCTGGCTTGTACGCGCTATAAGTCAGGGGCTTCAGCTGAGTCGCTGCTCAAAGTGAAGCACCCTCTCAGCCGCGAGATCACCGTCACCAATGAGGAGCATGCTGCTGGTAAGGCGGATAGTTGTGTGTGTACGCCTGTACGCTGCTGGTAAGGCAAGTCAGGGGCTACTGCTGAGTCGCTGCTTATAGTGAAGCATCCTCTGAGCCGCGAGATCACCGTCATCAACGAGGAGCACGCTGCTGGTAAGACAGCTGGCCCCTGTACGCGTTATAAACCGTATGTCACTATTGAGTTCCAAAAGGCCCCTCATGTTGAGACGTCTCTGGGTTTGGTTATGAAACCAGGCTGTTATGAAACACCAACAGGAGACACACACCGCTGCCAAACAACTTGCTGGCTCTTGCCAATGTGAGTCCTTTCCAATCTCTCCACGTGTGTCAAGGAACATCCTCCTCCTGCCCGCATTCTTGCTTGAAGTCCGCGATCTTGTAGCCCGAATATTCGTGCAAACCTTGCCAGGCGAAACCAGCCAGCACTGCTGCCTCACTGCATCACGCCATCCTTCTCCCCTCCCTCCTCTTCCCTTCTTTCCCCCCTTTTCCCTCCCCCCCATATCTCACACCCAACTGTATTGCCACAGACCAGCACGCGCAACCACCTCACACTCCCCTTCACTTTATCCATCTTTCCTCTTCCACACCCCCCCCGTTTCTCGTACCCAGCTGTGTCGCCACAGGCAGGCAAGCGCTACTTCCTCACGCTGCCCTCCACCTTATCTCTCTGTTCTCTTCCCCCCTCACCTCCCCCCTTCCCCCTTCATTACTCATCCCCAGCTGTGTCGCCACAGGCAGGCAAGCGCTACTATCTCACGCTGCCCTCGGGGCTGCACAAGCTTGACCACTCCGACCTGCAGGTGAGGCGAAGCGATGCAACATTATGACCGGTGCTGCTGCTGCTGCTGCTGCTGCTGCTGGGAATGTAGTAGTATCATATCATGTCATGGGATGGGATGGGTGTGTCGCCACAAGCAGGCAAGCGCTACTATCTCACGCTGCCTTCGGGGCTGCACAAGCTGGACCACTCCGACCTGCAGGTGACTTTTGAGTCGACTCAAAAGTCATCTTTTTGAGTCGACTCAAAAGCCACTCCGACCTGCAGGTGAGGCGACGCGACGCAATGCAATCTGACGGGCGCTGCTGTTGCCGGGTATTTCCTTTTTCGTGGGCGTGTTTTCTAAGCGCTCGAAGCACAACTTGCTCTCGCAGGTGCGCAGTGTTGTACTCAGGGCCACCCCTGCCCTTTGCCTTTCCGCATTCCTCATGACTTTTGAGTCGACTCAAAAGTGTTGTACTCAGGGCCACCCCTGCCCTTTGCCTTTCCGCATTCCTCATGACTTTTGAGTCGACTCAAAAGTGTTGTACTCAGGGCCACCCCTGCCCTTTGCCTTTCCGCATTCCTCTTTCTCATACACTTCGCCTCATGCGCGCAGGTGCCCAGCATCCACCTGGTGGACGGCGTGCAGGCGCCCATGGAGGCCCAGTGGGCGCATGGAGAGGGTCTGCTGTGCTGCACCCTGTAACCAGCACTACCCCTGCCTGCCTTCTCACCCTCTCATCTCCCTCCTGTCATGCCCACAGGTGCCCAGCATCCACCTGGTGGACGGCGTGCAGGCGCCCATGGAGGCCCAGTGGGCGCATGGAGAGGGTCTGCTGTGCTGCACCCTGTAACCAGCACTACCCCTGCCTGCCTTCTCACCCTCTCATCTCCCTCCTGTCATGCCCACAGGTGCCCAGCATCCACCTGGTGGACGGCGTGCAGGCGCCCATGGAGGCCCAGTGGGCGCATGGAGAGGGTCTGCTGTGCTGCACCCTGTAACCAGCACTACCCCTGCCTTCTCACCCTCTCATCTCCCTCCTGTCATGCCCACAGGTGCCCAGCATCCACCTGGTGGACGGCGTGCAGGCGCCCATGGAGGCCAAGTTCGCGTATGTGAATGTGGGCAACACCACTCGCAAGTCCGTCTTCTCCGTCTTCCTCAAGCTGCACCCCAAAGACAAGGACAACGCGTGGCTCAACCTGTAAGCACACCCCAACAGCCTTTTTTATGGCCCGAGAGCCTTGTACGCTCACTGTGCCTCGCTCACTGGGCCTCGCTCACTGTGCCTCGCTCACTGTGCCTCGCTCACTGTGCCTTTTGAGCCGGCTCAAAAGTCACCTCGGTACACTGACACACGAATGCCCACAGTCCCAGCTGCCTCTTCCTTCGCCTGCTTCCCTCATTCCCCCTTCCTCCCTGCCCCCTTCCCCGCTCCCCCCCTCTCCCCCTTCTCTCCAGCTGGCTGAACGACATCCCAGCGGCAGTGAACGGCACAACAAAGATAGCAGCGAAGACCAACTTCATGGAGCTGCTGTCGTTTGAGACACCCTTCTGGTACTACGAGGGCTCGCAGGTGCACCCGCCCTGCACTGAGACGGTGGATTGGTTCATCTCCATGCGCCCCAAGTTCGTCTCCACTCGCCAGGTGCGTGGGTGCTGGGTGCTGCTGGGTGTTGCTGGGTGCTGCTGGGTGCTGCTGGGTGCTGTCGTTTGAGACGCCCTTCTGGTACTACGAGGGCTCGCAGGTGCACCCGCCCTGCACCGAGACGGTGGATTGGTTCATCTCCATGCGCCCCAAGCTCGTCTCCACTCGCCAGGTGCGTGCGTGTTGGCGCCTCAACGGTTGTCACTCTGCCCGCACTGCTTTTCCAGGCGCCGCCTTAGAAGGTGCACGTGCACCCGCTGCACGGAGGTGGTCGATTGGTTCACCTCCAGATGATGAAATATGGTACTGGGATGCTTGTCGACGTAATGTTGGATGAATGTTGGAGTATGGTACTGTCGCTGTTCTGCCTGATGCGTCTCCCTGCGCTGCCTGGTGCGTCTCTCTCCCTGTACCCTGAGCTCATCTCAGCGCGCCAGGTGGGTGCTGCGGAGAGCCTGAGACCTTGTAGTACATGATATTATAAGGGTATTTCTGAGACATCTCAAAAGTACAAGAAGCGTCTTGTCAAACTGCATCCTCCATCTTGCATGCGCGAATAAGCCTCCTCTTGTGAAGCAAGGTGAACCAATCTCACAACCATCATGCATCCCTTTCCCATCCCTCCCTCCCTCTCTCCCTCCCGCCTGCTTCCCTCCCCTCCTCCACTCCTTTTCCCCCCCTCCCTTCCAGCTGGCCACCTACATGAACTTCCTCCCCCGCACCAACGTTGGTGACCACACATGCATCATCCATCCGCTCCTTGTCCACCCCTCCCCTCCCCAACTCTCCCCCCCTCCCTTTCAGATGGCCACCTACATGAACTTTCTATCGCGCACCAACAGTGGTGATCGCACCAACAACCGGCTGCCGCAGCCCCTCAATGCCCGCACCGTCTCTGTGTTCCGCGCCTCGTAGATTCCACAACCAAAGGCTGTACCCCCCATGCCTGCACTGGCGAGCCCTTGAGTGCATTGCGTGGGAGCCAATGGTCTCAATGCACATGGGATGGGATGGGAGGGAGAGCATCTTGACTGGTAGACCGCACCAACAACCGGCTGCCGCAGCCCCTCAACGCCCGCACCGTCTCTGTGTTTCGCGCCAATTAGATTCCGCGGCCAATGGTGGGAGGGGGTAATGCAGGTGTTGTGATAGGTAGGAGGGGGTAGTGCAGGCGTTGGCAAAGGTGGGAAAGGGTAGTGTAGGTGTCAGGACAGGTGGAGGGGGGTTACAGTAAGAGAGGGAGATAAAGTCGGCAAATTGCCAGCTTAGGGGGTTAGTTTGGGAGGGAGGGCGGACTGGTGTGACTGTTGTGTTGTCACAGCTGACCAGGCAGCTACCAGCCTGATGCATGTACGGAAACTTCCTGGTTTGTGGTTTGCATCTACTGTACGCAGCTTGTGGGGCTGGTTTGTTAATCTCAGGGGGATGAAGTTTCAGTAGTGTTATAGTAGCCTGTTGTGTGCTTCAAGTGTTCGCAATATGAATACAAGATCATGTCCTGTCATGTCCTGTGCACTTGTTACACGCAGCAGACAACAGCTGCTGGTACGACCTCTACATTGAAAAAAAAACTTACTTCTTACCACCGATCGTCTTTTGAGTCAAGGCTTACACCAGTTGACATCCTCTCTTACAATAGCAAGCTCACTACAGAAGCAACAAGTGATGGCAATAACAGCCCGCGTTGCGCATCCGAACCGAAGGCAACACAGTCCAAACATGTTTGAAATTGTGTCACTCAAAGGTTCATGAGGAATCAATTCACTTGCGATTCGGTGCAAAAAGAACAAGTAATGGCCCCACAGTGCACTCGTGCAACTATGATGTGGCTGCACCTTCTTATGCGCGAAGCAAGAGCAGACAACCTATATTTACAACACGAGCCCTTAGCTGCCATGCGTATGGGATAAAATGGGGTGATTCAGTTTCCCCCTGGGGTGGTGCTCGGCAAAAAGGCACCATGTGTCAAATGTTGAACATTGATATGATAGGCTATAGTGGGTTGCACTCTAGGGGGTACAGCTTCTAGGGTTGCTCATTTGTACCCCATTCGTTTCTATTCCAATCATTCCGTTGTTCGCTAACTTTGAGATGGTATCATGAGTAGGTGTCGATCCTCTCGCCTAGCCTAGCCTAGCTCGCGCCCTAGCGTCCTCCGCGCCCTTGCGCCCTAGCACACTCCGCGCCCTCCGCGCCCTCCGCGCCCTTGCGCCCTAGCACCCTCCGCGCCCTCCGCGCCCTCCGCGCCTTAGCCACCGCGCCCTCCGCGCCATCTCCGCGCCTTAGCGCCCTCCTCCTCCGCGCGTTAGCGCCCTCCGCGCCCCTAGCCTGCGCCCCTAGCCCGTCGCCCAGGCCCACGCCCTAGCCCGTCGCCCAGGCGCCCGCCCTAGCCCGTCGCCCAGGCGCCCGCCCTAGCCCGTCGCCCAGGCGCCCGCCCTAGCCCGTCGCCCAGGCGCCCGCCCTAGCCCGTCGCCCAGGCGCCCGCCCTAGCCCGTCGCCCAGGCGCCCGCCCTAGCCCGTCGCCCAGGCGCCCGCCCTAGCCCGTCGCCCAGGCGCCCGCCCTAGCCCGTCGCCCAGGCGCCCGCCCCAGCCCGTCGCCCAGGCGCCCGCCCCAGCCCGTCGCCCAGGCGCACGTACTTTCCACTGCCAGTGGCTCTACTAGCGGCAGCCGACAGCCGCACTTACGGTCTCTAGCCCCGGCCGTTCCTACCTCCAGCCAGCCCTAGCTCGCCGCTTCTAGCTCCAGCCGTTCTCGCTCCAGCCGTTCTCGCTCCTCGCTCGTAGCTCAGTTTGCTCCGTGCTCCGGCCGTTCCTCGCCTAGTTTCACCTGGCGCTTCTAGCTCAGTTTGCTCCGTGCTCCAGCCGTTCCTCGCCTAGTTTCACCTGGCGCTCCTAGCTTAGTTCGCTCCGTGCTCCAGCAGTTACTCGCCTGGTTTCACCTGGCGCTCCTAGCTTAGTTCGCTCCGTGCTCCAGCAGTTACTCGCCTGGTTTCACCTTGCGCTCCTAGTTGTTCTCGTTTTTCACAGCAACCTGTCGCTCCTGTCGCTCCTAGCCTGCCGCTCCTGCACCCCGCTAGCTTTTATCATGGAGTCCACTAGGGTTCTCCAGCAGCAGGGACAGCAGCAGCGGCCTTTTCAGCAGTGGCTTCCGCATCGGCAGGGGCGCCCTCAGCAGCTGTGGCGCCCTCAGCAGCCATGGGGGCCTGGTGGTTCAGGTCGCGTTGGCTGCAGCAGCGGCCCAGCCAGCTGGGGGGCTCGTCGCGGTGGCCGCGACGTCGGCCCCTGCCAGTACCGGATCCTGACCGGCCCTGGTGCTGGCACTACCTGCTGGCGTCCTGACCACTCTGCACAGCGCTGCTACAGCCGCCTCGACGACCTTTACCGTGAGCGTTTTGGGCCTGAGTCGGCTCCCCCGATCTGGCCCGGTCTGTTTCGTAGTGGTTACCCTGTGTTTGATATGTCTATGGATGCTGTTTATTCTGTCACGTACGGATCTCTTGGCTTACGTGTACCTAGCTTAGGACCTTTGCCTGTTGCTAGTGTCGGTACTTGTGCTTTTAGTGTAGGTGCTTGTGTAGTCACTAGCCCAGCCGTGACGACTGCTGTTGCGTCGCTCTCCTTCACGCTGGACTCCGGCGCGTCTCAGTGTTTCTTCCGCGACCACACCACTGTCACACCTCTTTCGGCTCCAGTCCCAGTTGCCCTGGCTGATCCTACTTCAGGACCAGCAGTTGCTCGTAGCTCGACCACCCTCCCATGCCCGGCTGTCCCCTCTGGTTTCCTCACTGGTCTCTACATCCCCTCGTTCTCTCGGAACTTGGTGGGTGTTGGATACCTTCAGGACCGGGGGATCACAGTCACTTTTCCTGCGCACGGGAGGACTGCGATCTGTGGCAAGTGGAGACAGTCATCTCACGGGCTGCTCACCTTCTTGGTGGGGCGGGCGTTGATGGCGCGGAACTGGGCCTTGAGCTCGAGCACCTCGTCCTTGCTGATGGGCTTCAACGGCACCATGTGTCGCCGCTCATCATCCGCAAACCACTTGGGCAGCGCCTTGGCGTCGTCGTCAAACATGTACCGGTTGTACGCATCGTCCACCACCTCGTCGCGCTCGCGCTTCCTCAGCATCCTCCTCGCATACGCCAGAGTCTCTGCCTTGCAGTCGCTGTCCCACTCCTCCTCCTCCTCCCCCATCGCCCCCCCTCCATGCCCCCCTGCAGCGCCCCCACCCCCCGTGCGTGCGTGCCTGGGCCCCCTGTGCCCGCCATGTGGCCCCCCACGGCTGTCACTGTCGCTGTCAGAGCTGTCATCGGAGCTGTCCCCCTCGCTGCCACTCAGCCTCTCCTCCGGCACCACCTCAAACCCCGCCTCCTCCTCCTCCTGCTTCCCCGCCCGTGGCCTCTTGCCCATGCCTTTCTCGCCATCTTCCTCGCCTCCTCCAGTCGCGCCACGAGGCACACCCGTCTCAGTTAGTGCAGCTTTCACCTTGCCAGCTTTGCTCTTCCTTGCTGCCTCTCCACCCTTCCCATCACCTGCCATGCCCGTTACTCCCCCATCATCAACGTCTGCCACCTCCCCTTCCTCTTCCTCTACTTCTCCCTCCTCTTCCTCCTCATCCCTCACCACCACCCTTTCACTACCCTTCCTCACCTTCTTCTCTCCTCGCTGCTTCTCCTCCACCCCTCCTTTCACTGCCCCGTCACCTCCTATCCTCCCAGCCTTGTGCGCCACTGCACCCATCTTCTGCACCCCACCGCCTGCACTGCTCCCCTTCGCCCCCTCCTGCGGCTCCTCCTCTGCCCCGCCCACCAGGTCGAGCCCCTCAAAGAGGTCCTGGGTGAACCACTGCGCCTGCACGCGCTCACTCGCACTGCTCTCACCCAGGCGCACCACCAGCGGGTTCTCCTCCTCCTCGCCCTCCTCTCCAATGTGCACCAACGCCGCCTCCTCCTCCCCCCCTTCCCCCCCCTGCGCCCCGGCGTCCTCCTCGCCCTCCTCCCCCTGGCCCTCCAGCGCCACGAGGCGAGCGCGGGCCTTGCGGCGCTTGCTGCTGGCGGTGGCCTTGCAGTAGTGCTCGTACGCCGTGTCAAAGTATGACTCCAGCTCCGCATCGTACCTGCCCAAAGGGGAAGGGGAGGGAACGAGTGGAGATATCAGTTGGACAGGAGGAAATGAGCCGAGAAGAGAAGGACGCTAACAAAATGAGCCGTGAAGGGAGCGAGGACTGGTGGAATGAGAGAGACACGGAGAAGACATGGGAGTGCCTCACATGCCACCATGACTCACATGCCACCATGCCTCACATGCCACCATGCCTCACATGCCTCTATGCCTCACATGCCACCATGCCTCACATGCCACCATGCCTCACATGCCACCATGCCTCACATGCCATCATGCCCCACATGCCACCATGCCTCACATGCCACCATGCCTCACATGCCACCATGCCTCACATGCCACCATGCCTCACATGCCACCATGCCTCACATGCCACCATGCCTCACATGCCACCATGCCTCACATGCCACCATGCCTCACATGCCACCATGCCTCACATGCCACCATGCCCTACATGCCACCATGCCTCACATGCCACCATGCCTCACATGCCACCATGCCTCACATGCCATCATGCCCCACATGCCACCATGCCTCACATGCCACCATGCCTCACATGCCACCATGCCTCACATGCCACCATGCCTCACATGCCACCATGCCTCACATGCCACCATGCCTCACATGCCACCATGCCTCACATGCCACCATGCCCCACATGCCACCATGCCTCACATGCCATCATGCCCCACATGCCACCATGCCTCACATGCCACCATGCCTCACATGCCACCATGCCTCACATGCCACCATGCCTCACATGCCACCATGCCTCACATGCCACCATGCCTCACATGCCACCATGCCTCACATGCCACCATGCCTCACATGCCACCATGCCTCACATGCCACCATGCCTCACATGCCACCATGCCCCACATGCCACCATGCCTCACATGCCACCATGCCTCACATGCCACCATGCCTCACATGCCATCATGCCCCACATGCCACCATGCCTCACATGCCACCATGCCTCACATGCCACCATGCCTCACATGCCACCATGCCTCACATGCCACCATGCCTCACATGCCACCATGCCTCACATGCCACCATGCCACCATGCCCCACATGCCACCATGCCTCACATGCCATCATGCCCCACATGCCACCATGCCTCACATGCCACCATGCCTCACATGCCACCATGCCTCACATGCCACCATGCCTCACATGCCACCATGCCTCACATGCCACCATGCCTCACATGCCACCATGCCCCACATGCCACCATGCCTCACATGCCACCATGCCTCACATGCCACCATGCCTCACATGCCACCATGCCCCACATGCCACCATGCCTCACATGCCACCATGCCTCACATGCCACCATGCCTCACATGCCACCATGCCTCACATGCCACCATGCCTCACATGCCACCATGCCTCACATGCCACCATGCCCCACATGCCACCATGCCTCACATGCCACCATGCCTCACATGCCACCATGCCTCACATGCCACCATGCCTCACATGCCACCATGCCTCACATGCCACCATGCCTCACATGCCACCATGCCTCACATGCCACCATGCCCCACATGCCACCATGCCCCACATGCCACCATGCCCCACATGCCACCATGCCCCACATGCCACCATGCCCCACATGCCACCATGCCTCACATGCCACCATGCCTCACATGCCACCATGCCTCACATGCCACCATGCCTCACATGCCACCATGCCTCACATGCCACCATGCCTCACATGCCACCATGCCCCACATGCCACCATGCCCCACATGCCACCATGCCCCACATGCCACCATGCCCCACATGCCACCATGCCCCACATGCCACCATGCCCCACATGCCACCATGCCCCACATGCCACCATGCCTCACATGCCACCATGCCTCACATGCCACCATGCCTCACATGCCACCATGCCCCACATGCCACCATGCCCCACATGCCACCATGCCCCACATGCCACCATGCCCCACATGCCACCATGCCCCACATGCCACCATGCCCCACATGCCACCATGCCTCACATGCCACCATGCCTCACATGCCACCATGCCTCACATGCCACCATGCCTCACATGCCACCATGCCTCACATGCCACCATGCCTCACATGCCACCATGCCTCACATGCCACCATGCCTCACATGCCACCATGCCCCACATGCCACCATGCCCCACATGCCACCATGCCCCACATGCCACCATGCCTCACATGCCACCATGCCTCACATGCCACCATGCCTCACATGCCACCATGCCTCACATGCCACCATGCCTCACATGCCACCATGCCTCACATGCCACCATGCCTCACATGCCACCATGCCCCACATGCCACCATGCCTCACATGCCACCATGCCTCACATGCCACCATGCCTCACATGCCACCATGCCTCACATGCCACCATGCCTCACATGCCACCATGCCTCAGATGCCACCATGCCCACATGCCACCATGCCTCACATGCCACCCTGCCTCACATGCCACCATGCCTCACATGCCACCATGCCTCACATGCCACCATGCCTCACATGCCACCATGCCTCACATGCCACCATGCCCCACATGCCACCATGCCCCACATGCCACCATGCCCCACATGCCACCATGCCCCACATGCCACCATGCCCCACATGCCACCATGCCCCACATGCCACCATGCCTCACATGCCACCATGCCTCACATGCCACCATGCCTCACATGCCACCATGCCTCACATGCCACCATGCCTCACATGCCACCATGCCTCACATGCCACCATGCCCCACATGCCACCATGCCTCACATGCCACCATGCCTCACATGCCACCATGCCTCACATGCCACCATGCCTCACATGCCACCATGCCTCACATGCCACCATGCCTCACATGCCACCATGCCCCACATGCCACCATGCCCCACATGCCACCATGCCCCACATGCCACCATGCCCCACATGCCACCATGCCCCACATGCCACCATGCCCCACATGCCACCATGCCTCACATGCCACCATGCCTCACATGCCACCATGCCTCAAATGCCACCATGCCTCACATGCCACCATGCCCCACATGCCACCATGCCCCACATGCCACCATGCCCCACATGCCACCATGCCCCACATGCCACCATGCCCCACATGCCACCATGCCCCACATGCCACCATGCCTCACATGCCACCATGCCTCACATGCCACCATGCCTCACATGCCACCATGCCTCACATGCCACCATGCCCCACATGCCACCATGCCTCACATGCCACCATGCCTCACATGCCACCATGCCTCAAATGCCACCATGCCTCACATGCCACCATGCCCCACATGCCACCATGCCCCACATGCCACCATGCCCCACATGCCACCATGCCCCACATGCCACCATGCCCCACATGCCACCATGCCCCACATGCCACCATGCCTCACATGCCACCATGCCTCACATGCCACCATGCCTCACATGCCACCATGCCTCACATGCCACCATGCCCCACATGCCACCATGCCCCACATGCCACCATGCCCCACATGCCACCATGCCCCACATGCCACCATGCCCCACATGCCACCATGCCCCACATGCCACCATGCCTCACATGCCACCATGCCTCACATGCCACCATGCCCCACATGCCACCATGCCCCACATGCCACCATGCCCCACATGCCACCATGCCTCACATGCGACCATGCCCCACATGCCACCATGCCTCACATGCCACCATGCCTCACATGCCACCATGCCTCACATGCCACCATGCCTCACATGCCACCATGCCCCACATGCCACCATGCCCCACATGCCACCATGCCCCACATGCCACCATGCCCCACATGCCACCATGCCTCACATGCCACCATGCCTCACATGCCACCATGCCTCAAATGCCACCATGCCTCACATGCCACCATGCCTCACATGCCACTATGCCTCACATGCCACCATGCCCCACATGCCACCATGCCCCACATGCCACCATGCCCCACATGCCACCATGCCCCACATGCCACCATGCCTCACATGCCACCATGCCTCACATGCCACCATGCCCCACATGCCACCATGCCCCACATGCCACCATGCCCCACATGCCACCATGCCTCACATGCGACCATGCCCCACATGCCACCATGCCTCACATGCCACCATGCCTCACATGCCACCATGCCTCACATGCCACCATGCCTCACATGCCACCATGCCCCACATGCCACCATGCCCCACATGCCACCATGCCCCACATGCCACCATGCCCCACATGCCACCATGCCTCACATGCCACCATGCCTCACATGCCACCATGCCTCAAATGCCACCATGCCTCACATGCCACCATGCCTCACATGCCACTATGCCTCACATGCCACCATGCCTCACATGCCACCATGCCCCACATGCCACCATGCCCCACATGCCACCATGCCCCACATGCCACCATGCCCCACATGCCACCATGCCTCACATGCCACCATGCCCCACATGCCACCATGCCTCACATGCCACCATTCCCCACATGCCACCATGCCCCACATGCCACCATGCCCCACATGCCACCATGCCCCACATGCCACCATGCCCCACATGCCACCATGCATGCCACCATGCCCACATGCCACCATGCCTCACATGCCACCATGCCTCACATGCCACCATGCCCCACATGCCACCATGCCCCACATGCCACCATGCCTCACATGCCACCATGCCTCACATGCCACCATGCCCCACATGCCACCATGCCCCACATGCCACCATGCCCCACATGCCACCATGCCTCACATGCGACCATGCCCCACATGCCACCATGCCTCACATGCCACCATGCCTCACATGCCACCATGCCTCACATGCCACCATGCCTCACATGCCACCATGCCCCACATGCCACCATGCCCCACATGCCACCATGCCCCACATGCCACCATGCCCCACATGCCACCATGCCCCACATGCCACCATGCCCCACATGCCACCATGCCTCACATGCCACCATGCCTCACATGCCACCATGCCTCACATGCCACCATGCCTCACATGCCACCATGCCTCACATGCCACCATGCCCCACATGCCACCATGCCCCACATGCCACCATGCCCCACATGCCACCATGCCCCACATGCCACCATGCCCCACATGCCACCATGCCTCACATGCCACCATGCCTCACATGCCACCATGCCTCACATGCCACCATGCCTCACATGCCACCATGCCTCACATGCCACCATGCCTCACATGCCACCATGCCTCACATGCCACCATGCCCCACATGCCACCATGCCTCACATGCCACCATGCCTCACATGCCACCATGCCTCACATGCCACCATGCCTCACATGCCACCATGCCTCACATGCCACCATGCCTCACATGCCACCATGCCCCACATGCCACCATGCCCCACATGCCACCATGCCCCACATGCCACCATGCCCCACATGCCACCATGCCCCACATGCCACCATGCCTCACATGCCACCATGCCTCACATGCCACCATGCCTCACATGCCACCATGCCCCACATGCCACCATGCCCCACATGCCACCATGCCCCACATGCCACCATGCCCTCACATGCCACCATGCCTCACATGCCACCATGCCTCACATGCCACCATGCCTCACATGCCACCATGCCCCACATGCCACCATGCCCCACATGCCACCATGCCCCACATGCCACCATGCCTCACATGCCACCATGCCTCACATGCCACCATGCCTCACATGCCACCATGCCTCACATGCCACCATGCCCCACATGCCACCATGCCTCACATGCCACCATGCCTCACATGCCACCATGCCTCACATGCCACCATGCCTCACATGCCACCATGCCTCACATGCCACCATGCCTCACATGCCACCATGCCCCACATGCCACCATGCCCCACATGCCACCATGCCCCACATGCCACCATGCCTCACATGCCACCATGCCTCACATGCCACCATGCCTCACATGCCACCATGCCTCACATGCCACCATGCCTCACATGCCACCATGCCTCACATGCCACCATGCCCCACATGCCACCATGCCCCACATGCCACCATGCCCCACATGCCACCATGCCTCACATGCCACCATGCCTCACATGCCACCATGCCTCACATGCCACCATGCCCCACATGCCACCATGCCCCACATGCCACCATGCCCCACATGCCACCATGCCTCACATGCCACCATGCCTCACATGCCACCATGCCTCACATGCCACCATGCCTCACATGCCACCATGCCCCACATGCCACCATGCCTCACATGCCACCATGCCTCACATGCCACCATGCCTCACATGCCACCATGCCTCACATGCCACCATGCCTCACATGCCACCATGCCCCACATGCCACCATGCCTCACATGCCACCATGCCTCACATGCCACCATGCCCCACATGCCACCATGCCTCACATGCCACCATGCCTCACATGCCACCATGCCTCACATGCCACCATGCCTCACATGCCACCATGCCTCACATGCCACCATGCCTCACATGCCACCATGCCCCACATGCCACCATGCCCCACATGCCACCATGCCCCACATGCCACCATGCCCCACATGCCACCATGCCTCACATGCCACCATGCCTCACATGCCACCATGCCTCACATGCCACCATGCCTCACATGCCACCATGCCCCACATGCCACCATGCCCCACATGCCACCATGCCCCACATGCCACCATGCCTCACATGCCACCATGCCTCACATGCCACCATGCCTCACATGCCACCATGCCCCACATGCCACCATGCCCCACATGCCACCATGCCCCACATGCCACCATGCCTCACATGCCACCATGCCTCACATGCCACCATGCCTCACATGCCACCATGCCTCACATGCCACCATGCCTCACATGCCACCATGCCTCACATGCCACCATGCCTCACATGCCACCATGCCTCACATGCCACCATGCCTCACATGCCACCATGCCTCACATGCCACCATGCCTCACATGCCACCATGCCCCACATGCCACCATGCCCCACATGCCACCATGCCCCACATGCCACCATGCCTCACATGCCACCATGCCTCACATGCCACCATGCCTCACATGCCACCATGCCTCACATGCCACCATGCCTCACATGCCACCATGCCCCACATGCCACCATGCCCCACATGCCACCATGCCCCACATGCCACCATGCCCCACATGCCACCATGCCTCACATGCCACCATGCCTCACATGCCACCATGCCTCACATGCCACCATGCCCCACATGCCACCATGCCCCACATGCCACCATGCCCCACATGCCACCATGCCCCACATGCCACCATGCCTCACATGCCACCATGCCTCACATGCCACCATGCCTCACATGCCACCATGCCCCACATGCCACCATGCCCCACATGCCACCATGCCTCACATGCCACCATGCCTCACATGCCACCATGCCTCACATGCCACCATGCCCCACATGCCACCATGCCTCACATGCCACCATGCCTCACATGCCACCATGCCTCACATGCCACCATGCCTCACATGCCACCATGCCTCACATGCCACCATGCCTCACATGCCACCATGCCCCACATGCCGCTATGCCTCACATGCCACCATGCCTCACATGCCACCATGCCTCACATGCCACCATGCCTCACATGCCACCATGCCCCACATGCCACCATGCCTCACATGCCACCATGCCTCACATGCCACCATGCCTCACATGCCACCATGCCTCACATGCCACCATGCCTCACATGCCACCATGCCTCACATGCCACCATGCCCCACATGCCACCATGCCCCACATGCCACCATGCCCCACATGCCACCATGCCTCACATGCCACCATGCCTCACATGCCACCATGCCTCACATGCCACCATGCCTCACATGCCACCATGCCTCACATGCCACCATGCCCCACATGCCACCATGCCTCACATGCCACCATGCCTCACATGCCACCATGCCCCACATGCCACCATGCCTCACATGCCACCATGCCCCACATGCCACCATGCCTCACATGCCACCATGCCTCACATGCCACCATGCCCCACATGCCACCATGCCCCACATGCCACCATGCCCCACATGCCACCATGCCCCACATGCCACCATGCCCCACATGCCACCATGCCCCACATGCCACCATGCCCCACATGCCACCATGCCTCACATGCCACCATGCCTCACATGCCACCATGCCCCACATGCCACCATGCCCCACATGCCACCATGCCTCACATGCCACCATGCCTCACATGCCACCATGCCCCACATGCCACCATGCCCCACATGCCACCATGCCCCACATGCCACCATGCCTCACATGCGACCATGCCCACATGCCACCATGCCTCACATGCCACCATGCCTCACATGCCACCATGCCTCACATGCCACCATGCCTCACATGCCACCATGCCCCACATGCCACCATGCCCCACATGCCACCATGCCCCACATGCCACCATGCCCCACATGCCACCATGCCCCACATGCCACCATGCCTCCACATGCCACCATGCCTCACATGCCACCATGCCTCACATGCCACCATGCCTCACATGCCACCATGCCTCACATGCCACCATGCCTCACATGCCACCATGCCCCACATGCCACCATGCCCCACATGCCACCATGCCCCACATGCCACCATGCCCCACATGCCACCATGCCCCACATGCCACCATGCCCCACATGCCACCATGCCTCACATGCCACCATGCCTCACATGCCACCATGCCTCACATGCCACCATGCCTCACATGCCACCATGCCTCACATGCCACCATGCCTCACATGCCACCATGCCTCACATGCCACCATGCCCCACATGCCACCATGCCTCACATGCCACCATGCCTCACATGCCACCATGCCTCACATGCCACCATGCCTCACATGCCACCATGCCTCACATGCCACCATGCCTCACATGCCACCATGCCCCACATGCCACCATGCCCCACATGCCACCATGCCCCACATGCCACCATGCCCCACATGCCACCATGCCCCACATGCCACCATGCCTCACATGCCACCATGCCTCACATGCCACCATGCCTCACATGCCACCATGCCCCACATGCCACCATGCCCCACATGCCACCATGCCCCACATGCCACCATGCCTCACATGCCACCATGCCTCACATGCCACCATGCCTCACATGCCACCATGCCCCACATGCCACCATGCCCCACATGCCACCATGCCCCACATGCCACCATGCCTCACATGCCACCATGCCTCACATGCCACCATGCCTCACATGCCACCATGCCTCACATGCCACCATGCCCCACATGCCACCATGCCTCACATGCCACCATGCCTCACATGCCACCATGCCTCACATGCCACCATGCCTCACATGCCACCATGCCTCACATGCCACCATGCCTCACATGCCACCATGCCCCACATGCCACCATGCCCCACATGCCACCATGCCCCACATGCCACCATGCCTCACATGCCACCATGCCTCACATGCCACCATGCCTCACATGCCACCATGCCTCACATGCCACCATGCCTCACATGCCACCATGCCTCACATGCCACCATGCCCCACATGCCACCATGCCCCACATGCCACCATGCCCCACATGCCACCATGCCTCACATGCCACCATGCCTCACATGCCACCATGCCTCACATGCCACCATGCCCCACATGCCACCATGCCCCACATGCCACCATGCCCCACATGCCACCATGCCTCACATGCCACCATGCCTCACATGCCACCATGCCTCACATGCCACCATGCCTCACATGCCACCATGCCCCACATGCCACCATGCCTCACATGCCACCATGCCTCACATGCCACCATGCCTCACATGCCACCATGCCTCACATGCCACCATGCCCCACATGCCACCATGCCTCACATGCCACCATGCCTCACATGCCACCATGCCCCACATGCCACCATGCCTCACATGCCACCATGCCTCACATGCCACCATGCCTCACATGCCACCATGCCTCACATGCCACCATGCCTCACATGCCACCATGCCTCACATGCCACCATGCCCCACATGCCACCATGCCCCACATGCCACCATGCCCCACATGCCACCATGCCCCACATGCCACCATGCCTCACATGCCACCATGCCTCACATGCCACCATGCCTCACATGCCACCATGCCTCACATGCCACCATGCCCCACATGCCACCATGCCCCACATGCCACCATGCCCCACATGCCACCATGCCTCACATGCCACCATGCCTCACATGCCACCATGCCTCACATGCCACCATGCCCCACATGCCACCATGCCCCACATGCCACCATGCCCCACATGCCACCATGCCTCACATGCCACCATGCCTCACATGCCACCATGCCTCACATGCCACCATGCCTCACATGCCACCATGCCCCACATGCCACCATGCCTCACATGCCACCATGCCTCACATGCCACCATGCCTCACATGCCACCATGCCTCACATGCCACCATGCCTCACATGCCACCATGCCCCACATGCCACCATGCCTCACATGCCACCATGCCTCACATGCCACCATGCCTCAAATGCCACCATGCCTCACATGCCACCATGCCCCACATGCCACCATGCCCCACATGCCACCATGCCCCACATGCCACCATGCCCCACATGCCACCATGCCCCACATGCCACCATGCCCCACATGCCACCATGCCTCACATGCCACCATGCCTCACATGCCACCATGCCTCACATGCCACCATGCCTCACATGCCACCATGCCCCACATGCCACCATGCCCCACATGCCACCATGCCCCACATGCCACCATGCCCCACATGCCACCATGCCCCACATGCCACCATGCCCCACATGCCACCATGCCTCACATGCCACCATGCCTCACATGCCACCATGCCCCACATGCCACCATGCCCCACATGCCACCATGCCCCACATGCCACCATGCCTCACATGCGACCATGCCCCACATGCCACCATGCCTCACATGCCACCATGCCTCACATGCCACCATGCCTCACATGCCACCATGCCTCACATGCCACCATGCCCCACATGCCACCATGCCCACATGCATGCCACCATGCCCCACATGCCACCATGCCTCACATGCCACCATGCCTCACATGCCACCATGCCTCAAATGCCACCATGCCTCACATGCCACCATGCCTCACATGCCACTATGCCTCACATGCCACCATGCCCCACATGCCACCATGCCTCACATGCCACCATGCCCCACATGCCACCATGCCTCACATGCCACCATGCCTCACATGCCACCATGCCTCACATGCCACCATGCCTCACATGCCACCATGCCCCACATGCCACCATGCCTCACATGCCACCATGCCTCACATGCCACCATGCCTCACATGCCACCATGCCTCACATGCCACCATGCCTCACATGCCACCATGCCTCACATGCCACCATGCCCCACATGCCACCATGCCCCACATGCCACCATGCCCCACATGCCACCATGCCCCACATGCCACCATGCCCCACATGCCACCATGCCTCACATGCCACCATGCCTCACATGCCACCATGCCTCACATGCCACCATGCCTCACATGCCACCATGCCCCACATGCCACCATGCCCCACATGCCACCATGCCCACATGCCACCATGCCTCACATGCCACCATGCCTCACATGCCACCATGCCTCACATGCCACCATGCCCCACATGCCACCATGCCCCACATGCCACCATGCCCCACATGCCACCATGCCTCACATGCCACCATGCCTCACATGCCACCATGCCTCACATGCCACCATGCCTCACATGCCACCATGCCCCACATGCCACCATGCCTCACATGCCACCATGCCTCACATGCCACCATGCCTCACATGCCACCATGCCTCACATGCCACCATGCCTCACATGCCACCATGCCTCACATGCCACCATGCCCCACATGCCACCATGCCCCACATGCCACCATGCCCCACATGCCACCATGCCTCACATGCCACCATGCCTCACATGCCACCATGCCTCACATGCCACCATGCCTCACATGCCACCATGCCTCACATGCCACCATGCCACATGCCCACATGCCACCATGCCCCACATGCCACCATGCCCCACATGCCACCATGCCTCACATGCCACCATGCCTCACATGCCACCATGCCTCACATGCCACCATGCCCCACATGCCACCATGCCCCACATGCCACCATGCCCCACATGCCACCATGCCTCACATGCCACCATGCCTCACATGCCACCATGCCTCACATGCCACCATGCCTCACATGCCACCATGCCCCACATGCCACCATGCCTCACATGCCACCATGCCTCACATGCCACCATGCCTCACATGCCACCATGCCTCACATGCCACCATGCCTCACATGCCACCATGCCCCACATGCCACCATGCCTCACATGCCACCATGCCTCACATGCCACCATGCCCCACATGCCACCATGCCTCACATGCCACCATGCCTCACATGCCACCATGCCTCACATGCCACCATGCCTCACATGCCACCATGCCTCACATGCCACCATGCCTCACATGCCACCATGCCCACATGCCCCACATGCCACCATGCCCCACATGCCACCATGCCCCACATGCCACCATGCCCCACATGCCACCATGCCCCACATGCCACCATGCCCCACATGCCACCATGCCTCACATGCCACCATGCCTCACATGCCACCATGCCTCAAATGCCACCATGCCTCACATGCCACCATGCCCCACATGCCACCATGCCCCACATGCCACCATGCCCCACATGCCACCATGCCCCACATGCCACCATGCCCCACATGCCACCATGCCCCACATGCCACCATGCCTCACATGCCACCATGCCTCACATGCCACCATGCCTCACATGCCACCATGCCTCACATGCCACCATGCCCCACATGCCACCATGCCTCACATGCCACCATGCCTCACATGCCACCATGCCTCACATGCCACCATGCCCCACATGCCACCATGCCCCACATGCCACCATGCCCCACATGCCACCATGCCCCACATGCCACCATGCCTCACATGCCACCATGCCTCACATGCCACCATGCCTCACATGCCACCATGCCTCACATGCCACCATGCCCCACATGCCACCATGCCTCACATGCCACCATGCCTCACATGCCACCATGCCTCACATGCCACCATGCCTCACATGCCACCATGCCCCACATGCCACCATGCCTCACATGCCACCATGCCTCACATGCCACCATGCCTCACATGCCACCATGCCTCACATGCCACCATGCCTCACATGCCACCATGCCTCACATGCCACCATGCCCCACATGCCGCCATGCCTCACATGCCACCATGCCTCACATGCCACCATGCCTCACATGCCACCATGCCTCACATGCCACCATGCCCACATGCCACCATGCCTCACATGCCACCATGCCTCACATGCCACCATGCCTCACATGCCACCATGCCTCACATGCCACCATGCCTCACATGCCACCATGCCTCACATGCCACCATGCCCCACATGCCACCATGCCCCACATGCCACCATGCCCCACATGCCACCATGCCTCACATGCCACCATGCCTCACATGCCACCATGCCTCACATGCCACCATGCCTCACATGCCACCATGCCTCACATGCCACCATGCCCCACATGCCACCATGCCTCACATGCCACCATGCCTCACATGCCACCATGCCCCACATGCCACCATGCCTCACATGCCACCATGCCCCACATGCCACCATGCCTCACATGCCACCATGCCTCACATGCCACCATGCCCCACATGCCACCATGCCCCACATGCCACCATGCCCCACATGCCACCATGCCCCACATGCCACCATGCCCCACATGCCACCATGCCCCACATGCCACCATGCCCCACATGCCACCATGCCTCACATGCCACCATGCCTCACATGCCACCATGCCCCACATGCCACCATGCCCCACATGCCACCATGCCTCACATGCCACCATGCCTCACATGCCACCATGCCCCACATGCCACCATGCCCCACATGCCACCATGCCCCACATGCCACCATGCCTCACATGCGACCATGCCCCACATGCCACCATGCCTCACATGCCACCATGCCTCACATGCCACCATGCCTCACATGCCACCATGCCTCACATGCCACCATGCCCCACATGCCACCATGCCCCACATGCCACCATGCCCCACATGCCACCATGCCCCACATGCCACCATGCCCCACATGCCACCATGCCCCACATGCCACCATGCCTCACATGCCACCATGCCTCACATGCCACCATGCCTCACATGCCACCATGCCTCACATGCCACCATGCCTCACATGCCACCATGCCCCACATGCCACCATGCCCCACATGCCACCATGCCCCACATGCCACCATGCCCCACATGCCACCATGCCCCACATGCCACCATGCCCCACATGCCACCATGCCTCACATGCCACCATGCCTCACATGCCACCATGCCTCACATGCCACCATGCCTCACATGCCACCATGCCTCACATGCCACCATGCCTCACATGCCACCATGCCTCACCATGCCCCACATGCCACCATGCCTCACATGCCACCATGCCTCACATGCCACCATGCCTCACATGCCACCATGCCTCACATGCCACCATGCCTCACATGCCACCATGCCTCACATGCCACCATGCCCCACATGCCACCATGCCCCACATGCCACCATGCCCCACATGCCACCATGCCCCACATGCCACCATGCCCCACATGCCACCATGCCTCACATGCCACCATGCCTCACATGCCACCATGCCTCACATGCCACCATGCCCCACATGCCACCATGCCCCACATGCCACCATGCCCCACATGCCACCATGCCTCACATGCCACCATGCCTCACATGCCACCATGCCTCACATGCCACCATGCCCCACATGCCACCATGCCCCACATGCCACCATGCCCCACATGCCACCATGCCTCACATGCCACCATGCCTCACATGCCACCATGCCTCACATGCCACCATGCCTCACATGCCACCATGCCCCACATGCCACCATGCCTCACATGCCACCATGCCTCACATGCCACCATGCCTCACATGCCACCATGCCTCACATGCCACCATGCCTCACATGCCACCATGCCTCACATGCCACCATGCCCCACATGCCACCATGCCCCACATGCCACCATGCCCCACATGCCACCATGCCTCACATGCCACCATGCCTCACATGCCACCATGCCTCACATGCCACCATGCCTCACATGCCACCATGCCTCACATGCCACCATGCCTCACATGCCACCATGCCCCACATGCCACCATGCCCCACATGCCACCATGCCCCACATGCCACCATGCCTCACATGCCACCATGCCTCACATGCCACCATGCCTCACATGCCACCATGCCCCACATGCCACCATGCCCCACATGCCACCATGCCCCACATGCCACCATGCCTCACATGCCACCATGCCTCACATGCCACCATGCCTCACATGCCACCATGCCTCACATGCCACCATGCCCCACATGCCACCATGCCTCACATGCCACCATGCCTCACATGCCACCATGCCTCACATGCCACCATGCCTCACATGCCACCATGCCTCACATGCCACCATGCCCCACATGCCACCATGCCTCACATGCCACCATGCCTCACATGCCACCATGCCCCACATGCCACCATGCCTCACATGCCACCATGCCTCACATGCCACCATGCCTCACATGCCACCATGCCTCACATGCCACCATGCCTCACATGCCACCATGCCTCACATGCCACCATGCCCCACATGCCACCATGCCCCACATGCCACCATGCCCCACATGCCACCATGCCCCACATGCCACCATGCCTCACATGCCACCATGCCTCACATGCCACCATGCCTCACATGCCACCATGCCTCACATGCCACCATGCCCCACATGCCACCATGCCCCACATGCCACCATGCCCCACATGCCACCATGCCTCACATGCCACCATGCCTCACATGCCACCATGCCTCACATGCCACCATGCCCCACATGCCACCATGCCCCACATGCCACCATGCCCCACATGCCACCATGCCTCACATGCCACCATGCCTCACATGCCACCATGCCTCACATGCCACCATGCCTCACATGCCACCATGCCCCACATGCCACCATGCCTCACATGCCACCATGCCTCACATGCCACCATGCCTCACATGCCACCATGCCTCACATGCCACCATGCCTCACATGCCACCATGCCTCACATGCCACCATGCCCCACATGCCACCATGCCCCACATGCCACCATGCCCCACATGCCACCATGCCTCACATGCCACCATGCCTCACATGCCACCATGCCTCACATGCCACCATGCCTCACATGCCACCATGCCTCACATGCCACCATGCCTCACATGCCACCATGCCCCACATGCCACCATGCCCCACATGCCACCATGCCCCACATGCCACCATGCCTCACATGCCACCATGCCTCACATGCCACCATGCCTCACATGCCACCATGCCTCACATGCCACCATGCCCCACATGCCATGCCCCACATGCCACCATGCCCCACATGCCACCATGCCCCACATGCCACCATGCCTCACATGCCACCATGCCTCACATGCCACCATGCCTCACATGCCACCATGCCTCACATGCCACCATGCCCCACATGCCACCATGCCTCACATGCCACCATGCCTCACATGCCACCATGCCTCACATGCCACCATGCCTCACATGCCACCATGCCCCACATGCCACCATGCCTCACATGCCACCATGCCTCACATGCCACCATGCCTCACATGCCACCATGCCTCACATGCCACCATGCCTCACATGCCACCATGCCTCACATGCCACCATGCCCCACATGCCGCCATGCCTCACATGCCACCATGCCTCACATGCCACCATGCCTCACATGCCACCATGCCTCACATGCCACCATGCCCCACATGCCACCATGCCTCACATGCCACCATGCCTCACATGCCACCATGCCTCACATGCCACCATGCCTCACATGCCACCATGCCTCACATGCCACCATGCCTCACATGCCACCATGCCCCACATGCCACCATGCCCCACATGCCACCATGCCCCACATGCCACCATGCCTCACATGCCACCATGCCTCACATGCCACCATGCCTCACATGCCACCATGCCCCACATGCCACCATGCCCCACATGCCACCATGCCCCACATGCCACCATGCCTCACATGCCACCATGCCTCACATGCCACCATGCCTCACATGCCACCATGCCCCACATGCCACCATGCCTCACATGCCACCATGCCTCACATGCCACCATGCCTCACATGCCACCATGCCTCACATGCCACCATGCCCCACATGCCACCATGCCTCACATGCCACCATGCCTCACATGCCACCATGCCTCACATGCCACCATGCCTCACATGCCACCATGCCTCACATGCCACCATGCCTCACATGCCACCATGCCCCACATGCCACCATGCCTCACATGCCACCATGCCTCACATGCCACCATGCCTCACATGCCACCAGGCCTCACATGCCACCATGCCCCACATGCCACCATGCCTCACATGCCACCATGCCTCACATGCCACCATGCCTCACATGCCACCATGCCTCACATGCCACCATGCCTCACATGCCACCATGCCCCACATGCCACCATGCCTCACATGCCACCATGCCTCACATGCCACCATGCCTCACATGCCACCATGCCTCACATGCCACCATGCCTCACATGCCACCATGCCTCACATGCCACCATGCCTCACATGCCACCATGCCCCACATGCCACCATGCCTCACATGCCACCATGCCTCACATGCCACCATGCCTCACATGCCACCATGCCTCACATGCCACCATGCCTCACATGCCACCATGCCTCACATGCCACCATGCCTCACATGCCACCATGCCTCACATGCCACCATGCCTCACATGCCACCATGCCTCACATGCCACCATGCCCACATGCCACCATGCCTCACATGCCACCATGCCTCACATGCCACCATGCCTCACATGCCACCATGCCTCACATGCCACCATGCCTCACATGCCACCATGCCTCACATGCCACCATGCCTCACATGCCACCATGCCTCACATGCCACCATGCCCCACATGCCTCCATGCCTCACATGCCACCATGCCTCACATGCCACCATGCCTCACATGCCACCATGCCTCACATGCCACCATGCCTCACATGCCACCATGCCTCACATGCCACCATGCCCCACATGCCACCATGCCTCACATGCCACCATGCCTCACATGCCACCATGCCTCACATGCCACCATGCCTCACATGCCACCATGCCTCACATGCCACCATGCCTCACATGCCACCATGCCTCACATGCCACCATGCCTCACATGCCACCATGCCTCACATGCCACCATGCCTCACATGCCACCATGCCTCACATGCCACCATGCCCACATGCCACCATGCCCACATGCCACCATGCCTCACATGCCACCATGCCTCACATGCCACCATGCCTCACATGCCACCATGCCTCACATGCCACCATGCCTCACATGCCACCATGCCTCACATGCCACCATGCCTCACATGCCACCATGCCTCACATGCCACCATGCCTCACATGCCACCATGCCTCACATGCCACCATGCCTCACCTCCTCTTGTCTGCATCGCTGTCATCATCGTCACTCCCCTCCCCCACGTCCTCCTCCTCCTCGTCCTCGTCGCTCTCCTCCCTCTCCATGGCCGCCATCTCCTCGGCATCCGGTGCCTCCGTGTCATCCACGCCGCTCAGCTGCTTGCGCTGCCACCAGGTCACCCAGGGGCCATTTTTATGGGGAGAGACCGAGGGAGGGAGTGAAAGGGGGTCAGTTGGAGGGAGAGGTGGGGCAAGGGAGGGCGGGGAAAAGGGTGATGTTAGAGCAACTGCAATTGGGCATGGACAGACAGGTTAGGAAATGGAAAACCGGAAGCAATGGATGGGGCGGTAGGGAGAGAGGGGGGCAAGAAAATGAGGGGAAGATTCTGTGAGAACAAGTGAATGAGAGAGATGAACGAGTGATGAAAGACAGTGAGCCGTGTGAAGGGGGCGAAGAGGAGGGCGAAGAGGAGGGGTGCGAGGCACCTTGATGGCGGTGAGGGCGAAGAGCTCGTCGTCGGCAGCGATGTCGGTGTCCCCCAGCGCATCCACCTTCATGCCCGTCGCCGTGCGCACCTTGCTCTGCGCGTGGGAACATGGGAGGGCGGGCGTGGGAAGGTTGAGGGGGAGGGCTGTCGAAGGTGCGGGTGGGTTGATGCGTCTTCAGCGTAGCACACTCCAAGCGCCTTCCACGGCTACCCATCACAGCACCCTGTGCGCAAGCACGTGCTGCCCGCCCGCCACAACCCCAGTGGACCCTGCTCACGCACACATGCATTCCTGCCCACCCACTCCGCCACCTGCTCTCCAACCTACGCCTGCAATGGCACCGCCCCTCACCCCCACACCCGCCCCTTGCTCCTACTTTCACCCCCCTCTGGCATTTCTCCACAACACCTAGCCCCCCCACCTCCTCCCTCGTCTCATCGCCGCCCCCGCACCTTCTCGCGGCGGCGCTTGTCGGCTTTGAGCTTGAGGCGGCGCCGGGCGCCCAGCAGGTCCCTCAGCTCCGCCAGCTCCTCCTCCACCCCCGCCTCCTCCCTCTCCCTCCGCGCCTCCTCCCCCTCCTCCCCCTCCTCTGCCGCCCCGCCCTCATCCCCTTCCCCCCCTTCCTCCTCCGCACCATCAACCTCTCCTTCCGCCTGCTTGTCCTGCCGAACCAGCTCTGGAAGGTCCTTGCGAATCTTGAGGCGCCACCTGGATAATGCAGAGAGGGCGAGGGGCGAGACAGAAAGGCTGTGAGGGCCGTGCAACGCAGGCAAATGATGGGAGCAACGCGACAGTGGGATGTTGATGCACACTGAGTGGCAATGAAGCATGCGGCACTGTGTGGGTCGAGGAGGTGAGTGGTGGGGAACGAAAGAGGTGACGCTCACTCACCTGCTACACTCATTCCAGCACAACCCTCACTTGAGCAGCTGCTTGCACTCACTTGAGCAGCTGCTTGCACTCACTTGAGCAGCTGCTTGCACTCACTTGAGCAGCTGCTTGCACTCACTTGAGCAGCTGCTTGCACTCACTTGAGCAGCTGCTTGCACTCACTTGAGCAGCTGCTTGCACTCACTTGAGCAGCTGCTTGCACTCACTTGAGCAGCTGCTTGCACTCACTTGAGCAGCTGCTTGCACTCACTTGAGCAGCTGCTTGCACTCACTTGAGCAGCTGCTTGCACTCACTTGAGCAGCTGCTTGCACTCACTTGAGCAGCTGCTTGCACTCACTTGAGCAGCTGCTTGCACTCACTTGAGCAGCTGCTTGCACTCACTTGAGCAGCTGCTTGAAGTCTCTCTTGCCCAGAATGCGCAGGTCCTTGCACAGCTCGTGGATCTGCAAGCCATGGCGCGTGGCCGCGAGGAGGGGGGGGGGAAGAGGGGGCATGGCATGGCAGTAAGTTACAGCAACTGCGGTGCCAGTTACCACAAGAGCAACGGGAGCAGCAGCAGGTGTCACATGGCCGTGCCTCTCTCACCTCGGGCGTGCCTCGCTTCGCCTCACCTCGGGGGTGCCTCTCTCACCTCGGGGGTGCCTCTCTCACCTCGGGCGTGGTGAGCGGGTGGTCGATGACGGGCTGGGCGAACGGCAAGTCAAAGGTGATCTCGTGGAAGGTTCCCAGAAACGCCACGGCGTTGTCGGTGGTGAGGAAGTCCGGCAGCGGCGCGCGCTTGTGCACCACACTCTGCCCCTCCTCGTACCTGGTGCCGCCAAGGGGGGGTGGCACGGGTGCAGGGCAGGAAGGCGCGGCGGAGACGAGGCAAGTGGTGCAAGAGGCTTGTGCAGCGCTGGTTGGAGCGCAGGCAGGCAGCACAGCAGAGAGGCAGCGATGGTTGGCATGGGTGGTGTGGCACGGTGCATGGGTGTGGTGGCATCTCAAACACTTGTCCCTCCTCAACTGCTACTCCCACCCCTCCCTCCCTACTCTCATCTCAATCACTTGTCCCCACTTCTTCCCTCCCCCTCCACGTCATCTCATCTCCCTGTTCACCTCATTCCTCCACTCATTTCTCCCCACCCTCCCTTCCCTCCAGTCCCCTCACCCCTCCCCCTGACACCGCCACTCACCCCTCCCCCTGACACGGGCAGGCACTCACCCCTCTCTGCTTCGCTTGCTGTTGGGCTCCGCCAGCACATCCACCGCCTGCCATGCCCGCCACGCCATGCCAACACAGCCCCAACAATGGGCCCACAGCGACAGTGGGAAGGAGAGAGGGCAGTGGAAAGGAGAGAGGGAACAAGGTGAGGAGGCAACAAGACAGGCAGAGCTCATTGTGCCGCTGCTGCCGCATTGCACGTTACATGCTCTCCAACCAACAGACGTCTCCACTTTCCTTATTGCCATACCTCGCACCACGTTCTCACTCATCAATCACCCGCTTAAACTCCGCTGAAGCCACCCTTCCGCACTGCATGCGGCCATGTGCTCCTTGGGCGGCTCACCTTGGGCGGCTCACCTTGGGCGGCTCGGGCACGGTCTCAAAGAGGTGCTTGGCGTCGAGGAGGCGCGGGTCGATGCGGCTGGGCGCCTTGAAGGCGTGGCACACCACGTAGATCTCCGCCGACGTCGCCCTCGACGCCACCGGCTTCGTCGCCTCCACTCGCCCGAACAGCTGCCCGCACCCAGGGAACACAAGCACGCACGCACGCAGGAGGGGCAGGCAGGGGAGGAGGGGTAGGCAGAGAGGAGAGAAGACAGTACGTTGACGGTCTATTAGCTGGCTTGGGGGCTTCTTCCCCATAGGTAGATGAAACCAAACCCAATAGCTACATGTGACATTCCAGTATTTAGAACGCTATCTTGTAACAAGGAAGGGTATGCAAGGGAGGAGGGACGGTGAGGCCGGGACGACGTGAGATTGGGAGGTGGGTTGAATAGAGGAGGTTTGGCTTCGAGCTTGTCGGATTAGGAGCAAATACGAGCTTGGTCCAGGAAGGGTAGCGGGGTGTAAGGATGGGGAGGTGTAAGGATGGGGAGGTGCAAGGATGGGGAGGTGCAAGGATGGGGAGGTGCAAGCGTGTGGAATGAATGAGAGGGATGAGGAGGATGTTGAGGGTGGGAAAAGGCGAGGCGTACCTGCTTGAAGGCGAAGAGCAGCGCGTTGTAGTCCTGCGAGCGGAACACCTGGCGGGGTGGTGGGGCGGTGGTGGGGTGGTGGGGTGCGCAGGAACGCAAGGAGGGGACAGGACAGGGACACGGAGAGAAGCGTTGATGCCGTTGCACTGCAGGTATGGAGAGGCGTGGAGAGGTGGTGGAGAGGTGTGGAGAGGAAGAGCGATTTAAAGAGGCTCAAAGTGTAAAGGCGCATCACGTTGGAGTGAGTTCCACGTACCTTGGAGATGAACGTACCTTGGAGATGAACGTACCTTGGAGATGAACGTACCTTGGAGATGAACGTACCTTGGAGATGAACGTACCTTGGAGATGAACGTACCTTGGAGATGAACGTACCTTGGAGATGAACGTACCTTGGAGATGAACGTACCTTGGAGATGAACGTACCTTGGAGATGAACGTACCTTGGAGATGAACGTACCTTGGAGATGAACGTACCTTGGAGATGAACGTACCTTGGAGATGAACGTACCTTGGAGATGAACGTACCTTGGAGATGAACGTACCTTGGAGATGAACGTACCTTGGAGATGAACGTACCTTGGAGATGAAGGTGCCGCCCGGCTTGAGGAACTCGACGGCGAGTCGCAGCGCCTGCAGAGAGAGCGCTGCCTGCCCCAGCGCCTCGCTGAGCCACGCGCCTCCCACGTTGGGCGACCCGTCGTGCACCACCACGTCCAGCAGCCCGCCCTGCCCGGGGGACGAGCGAGGAGGGGGGCGGTGGAGGACGTATGGGGAGGGCGGGTGAAGAGGCGTGCGGGACAGTCAGCCGGAGAGAAGGGCGGAGGACGCACGATGAAAGGCGACAGGGAGGGGCGCAGCCAGGGGGGAAGAGGGTGGAAGTGCAAAAGGGAAGTGGAAGGCTGGCCTAGAGTGCCTCCAAAGACTACACCCCATCCGCCCTCCACCCCCTCGACTGCTCCTCGACTGCCCCTCGACTGCCCCTCGACTGCCCCTCGACTGCCCCTCGAATGCCCCTCGACTGCCCCTCGAATGCCCCTCGACTGCCCCTCGAATGCCCCTCGACTGCCCCTCGACTGCCCCTCCAGAGCCCGTGGAGCGCCTCACCCGTGGAGCGCCTCACCCGTGGAGCGTGGGGGCTTGGGGCGCTTGACTGACCTTGAGGACTTTTTTGAGGTCGGCGCGGCACTTGGGCGTGGTGATGTCGTGCGTGAGCGTGATGCAGCCGGGCACGGCGCGGATGGGCACCAGGTCCACGCCCACGATCACGCTGCCCATCGGCATGTACTTCGCCGCCACCTGCGCGCGCGTGGGGCACACGCACCGGGGGAAGGGGGGAGGAATGGGCGCAGAAGATGGGGGAGGTCAGATGCGGGGAAGTGGAGGGAGGGGGAGGGAGGTTGGGGGAGGGAGGGGTGATGGCGAGCACGGCAATGGACAAGTCGCAGCCCGGGTGCATCGTCTCGTCTCGTCTGCCCTCGCCACCACCGTCCAAGTCCCTGCCCAACGGACGATAAACGGCATGGCGGCAAATAAGCCCTTGCCGCTACTGTTGCCCCCGCGCGCACGACAGACGCTGATCGCCACAGCGGAGTGCGCCGCAGCCTGCGCGCCATTCACTGAGCCCCCCTCACTACTGCGCGCCCTGCTAAACCCCAAACATCGCAATCGGCGAGCGGCTGGACGCCAACGAATCAAACGAGGCGAGCAATCAGGCGCAGCCCATGGCCGTGCCGTGGCGCGCTCGGCGAGGCTCACGAGGGTTCGAGGTTCGGGGTTTTGGGAGGGCACATGGCGAACGTGGGCGAGCGGCAGGCGAGAGTCGCCCGACGAGAAAACTCCCGCAGCAGGTCAATTCCCCTGCCCACGCCTCTCGCCGCTGGGCTCATCTACAGCCATCCGCCCGGCGCGGCGCAGAGGTCGAGCAGCGAGCGCGAGTTCTCGAGGAACTGGTACTTGCGGTTGAGCTGCACCAGCTTGAACGCCGCGCGGGACCGGTAGCCCTGCTCCTTGGCGAGGTAGTAGAACTTGTCGAGCCGCCCCTTGCCCGACGTTTTAGACTTGCCCATGGCTGCTGGGTGGGCGCAGCAGAGGGTTTCGAGAACGAACGTGGGAAAAACGTGAGAACGAACGAACGAACGAAGTGCGGTGAGATGGGAAGGGAAGGGAGGTAACGCAGTTGAGCTTCATATGCATTTGGCGAAACTGTTGCCCACTGATAGCGACATGTGTAACTTTCAACATGCCCGCTGTTACAGTATGAGTTGTTGTAAGGATTTACAAATCCTTACTGAGGCACTCGTTAGCGAGGTCATCCCGAGGGTCACGCGACGAACCTGTCCTTCCTATTTCGTCGCACCAAACCACTCCCGAGTCGGCCTCCGCTCCAATCGCAACCATCACCGAGCCATCTTCGCCCTACCTCCTCGCCTAGCTAGGTTTTCCCCTATTTAGGCCTCGCTACTTCATTGTTTCCTCATGCAGTACTCAATCATTCTCGTTATTCGTTTTACTGCACACTCTGCAAGTTCATTCATAACACCTGGTATCAGAGCTACTTTCCTAGCTCACCCCGCTTTTTAGAGTGTAATACCCCTCGGGGGGGGGGGACGAGGAAGGATGTCTTGGGGTCCAGGAGTTGCGTAGGCCGGCCAGGAGAACTAGTTAGTTGCTCCTCGCGGCTATGTTTTTACGGGTACTCCTTCGGCACCGCCAGATCCTTGCCTCGAACGGTCTCGATCGACCGTGGCCTCCCTCCCCCCGGGCAACGGGCAGCTGTTGCTGTCGCGACGCTAAACGTGAGTTACTATTCCGCTGCGATTTACGGACGATTTCGGAAGTTTTGTGTGGCAGCTGGCGTCAGCGGACCTGCGTCGGCACCTGCACGAAATTCGCGGAGTCGTCAACATGAGTGGCAGTTGACGACGTCGGACCTGGGTCAACGGCTGCGCGACAATTTCGGAGTTCGTCTGAAGCGGCAATTTACGACGGTGGCTCGTCGTCATTTTGCGCGCATGACTCGCGGAATGTGTTCGGCAGCTGGCGACAACGGACGTGCGTCACTGTGGGCGACATTTTCGGAGCAACTGTGGAGAAAAAAGTCGGCTGGGGAACTCGCCAGGCGCAAATGGAGTTTTGCGTCCGAAAATATCGGTGGACGAGGAGAGACGACACGCGATTTGCCCGAAAATTGCGGGGTCAACTGTCGTCCCGCCCGACCTGAAGTGCAGCGGCTTTTACTGCATGGCGGGCGCGTCATCGAAGATTTCGGCAGGAGTGCACGTGGACAGACGGGATTTTCAGACCCGCCGACACTTACGGGCTGCAACGAAAAGCGGAGTGGCCATATCGCACTTAAGAAGAAGTGGGGCGCAGGCGACGAGGGAAACCGGGGCAGGTAACCTCGGAAACGACTCGTACGACGATGCGTGCCTGGTGTTGTTGCAAGCTGGCTGGCAATTTCGAGAGTGGTTTCTCCTACCAGAGAAGACGTTTTCGGGGAGAGCTGCAAGCGACCCACGATTAAACGGCGTTCAACGTACTGCACCGACATTTACGGAGGAGTCGGTACAGGCCGCCGGGACACACGGGAAGAAACTGCCCGACGGCTAAGCGGGGGTTGAAGAACGGCGTGAAGGGCAGGTTAAAAGCCGGAGTGAACGATCTGTGACCTTCCGTCGCCCGAACCTCACCATCCCCACCAAGTTCTAGTTCTGACTCACGCAGTCAACTTGCTTGGCCGAATAACGGGGGTGAACACGGGCCTACCCTGTGCTGGTTAAAGGCACCTGGATTGGTGCTCGTTCGACAGCTGTACAGAAAAACAAAAAAAAAAAAGGGGAGTTGCGGCACTGTTCTGCTCCGACAAAAGCGGGCTGGGTGAAACAGCACGCGAAAAAATCCGGGCCGCCGCAAGGACAACACTGGTGCAGTTCGCTGTTTTCTTCTTGTTACGATATGAAGTTTTATGAGAAGGCATTCCTGTATGCTGCAGGAGCCGACTCTACCGAGTACGAAGTCGAGGAGTCAGAAGAGTCGAAGTGACGCAGCAACCGTCTGACCAAGACCGATGCTGGCAGAAACATTTGAAGTGAAAAGAGCGGGAACAGGTTTGAAACGGGTTCCCGCTCCGCACGGTTTGAATTCGGTTGTAATAAGGGAATGTACCCCTTAGAGTACATGGCTAGTCTAGGCCTTTTCGTATTCCCCTGTATTCTTATATAAACTCGATGTATGCATGCTATTATCAACTCAGTCATTTACATTCACTCTGACCTGAGATTCAAACTTCCGCTGCAACACTACTCTGCGATCAACCCTGAGCGATCCTTTGCTAAGTCCCACTTGGGATTGTAACATGGTATGAGAGCTACTCAGGGATTCTTCGCAACTGCACTTCCGTGAAATTCACCGAACCAAGATCTGGCGAGCGGCACACGCTCCAAGACCAAGATGGCCGGAGGATCCGGAGGCCAAGCAAATCTGACGGCTGAAGGACAATCCAATCCGGCTGCGACAAATGAGGCGACAACCACGATTGGCACTGCCGCCCTCGAGCAACTTTTCGCTCGACTATCAACTATGGAGAAAGAACTCCAAGACCTGCGCAAAGGCGATGCGGGAACCTCTTCCCAACCAGTTCAACCTGGACAACCGGCTGAGAAAAGCCGTGATACCGCCGCGCATACCTTCTCCCTCGACACAGACAAATCAACAACAACTGCCCCCCGTCCAAGTGATGAAGCCATCAACTCTGCGCAAACACGCTTCCTCAGCGTTTCAAAAATCAAAACTACTGCCGCGTTTGACGGCAAGGACTTCTACACATGGAGTTTCGAGCTTGAGCTCCTCCTGCAAACGGCGCAGATCTACCATTACTTCGACGGCTCCTATCCTAAACCGGTGGAAAACACCGAAGTCGCCAGGGCTCAATACTACAGTGAGTCCCTCATGGCCTACAGTGTGCTGCTACGCAACATGACGCCTGCGGAACAACTCAACATTCGCTCCTACAAAGAGAGCGACGCTCCAGCCTTGGAAGCTTGGAAGCATCTCGTTGAAGTTTATCAGCCGAAGGATTCGGTCACCGCCAGCAGGCTTCTGCAGCAACTCCTGGAGATAAAAATGGGGCACGGGGAGAAAGCGAACCCTTATATTAACCGCTGTCGTAACATCCGTGACCAGATCACGAAGCATGGGAGTACGATCTCGGAAGAGATCTTCGTCAACATAGTCCTCCAAGGACTCGGGCCTGAGTGGAAGCCCTGCAAGGCGTTACTCCGACAGCGAGGGACAATCTCAGAAGCCGCGCTATGCGCCGCACTCCTGTCCGAACAGCAGGATATGGACTCGAGCAGAACAAGCTCCGCGCCGCGCCGAGAGCGCCTCGCCTTCTACGCAGACAACCGTGAAGAGCGAGGCGCCATTATTGCAAAACATGCAAGGTCTTCGGACACTCAACGATCGATGCAAGTCCCGATCCAACTATCGCCACCCAAATTCCACTCACCACAACAATTGGGTCGGCCGACAAGATGCTCGTCATCCCCAGTCTCAGCAACAGACACCTCGTCCTCCTGCGCAACACCAACATCAGTAAGGATCTCAAGGACCTCCATCAGGAGCCCCCAGAAACATCATCGCGAACATGACGACGCGCCGACGTCACTCTGATGAACCTGACGAGGAAGACGAGATTCAAGGAAGATTCCTTGAACCAGAAGAGGGATGGAATAACCCCCTCACTGAAAATTACTACTACCAGTATGACGAAGACGAGCAGGATTGGAACCTGCCAATCACTTTGCGGGAAAGCCCGCCGCACGACAATCAACACTACGTACCGGTGGGATGGAAGGAGGACGAAGACCCTCTCTTCTACAGTCGCTACAAGGCAACCCTGGTGACTCCGCGATTGGCGCTACTTCTGCGTCGGAGCAATACCGACAACTACAACACCTGGTACCTGGACAGCTGCTGCGGACAGCACATGGTGGGATCTACGCGCTACGTCTCAAATCTGAGCCGCGCCCCCCCAACTTACGTTACCGTCGCCAACAACGAGCAGCTGCGCGCCAACTCACAAGGCATTGTCTTTCTGCAAGCACGAGACAGCAACACACACATCTCATTCAACGACGTGCTCTACGTTCCGAATCTCCGCTTCAATCTGCTCTCGGCCGGACAACTTCGTGACTGCGGCGTCATACTCACCACCGACCTCGCCACTCGCGATCTCATACTCACGTACGCCCCGCCGGATACCCCCCCCGAATCGTTCAAGTATCTCGGGCGAGCCCGCTCGATCAACGGGATCTATGTCTTGGACTTCGACGTACCTTCCTGCCAAGCTTCATCCGAACGAGCTCGTGGACCTTGTTCCCCTCGAATTTGCCTACACAAGCAAATGGGAGCACCCGGACGGACGACCATGGATTCGCCGCAGTCCTCATCCCCGCGAGATCAATCTGCACGACCCCGACATCAACGGTCTCTGCACCACCTGCCACACGCCCACCGCGAGTCGCACGGAGCAAGTCGAAAGAGAGCAAGCGGCAATTCAGGAAGCGGAGAGCGCCGAGGCAGAACCTACGGGCATGACACAAGAAGAGCTTGCAGTAACAACTCACCGTATTTTCGGTGAACCAAACGACGACTTCGGACAGCTTCGTGCCGAACGACCAACACCATATGCAGAAACGCTCCGGTTCGTCCTAGAAGCCAACACCACTACCTTCGACGACGATGGACGACCACGTCCCTACACCCGCGAAGTTTACCGCCACGAAATTGACCCGGCTTGGAAAGATCCTGACGCAGAAGAAGAGCTGAGCGTCAAGGAAGAACAAGACAAGGCCCGGGCGGAAAAGAAACAGAAACTGTTTGAGGAACGTGTCGCGGCTGGATGGGATGAGGAGACAGCACGACGTGGCGCATGGGGAGATGAAGATTACGAACCAGAAGAAGGCGACGGAGCAACCTGGGGATCCGCCACTGGAGCATGGGGAGCCAGTACCAGCGGTACGGTCAACACGGAAGGATGGGGAAACACCGGCGGATGGGGAGGAAA